GATTGGGTCTCGAAGAAGAAGAAGAAGAAGAAGAAGTTGAGAAAGTTCGATCGAGAAATTGGGTTGAAGTAGAGGTAGTAGCAGTAGAAGCCATAGTTGGTTGATCCTGTCTTTTTTTTTTTTTTTTCTGATAAAACGCTGCGTCTTGGTTTCTTCAGGACCAAGTTTGTGCTTTGTACATATTGTTGTGTGAGTGAGCGAGAGAGAGAGATGTGAGTATTTAGCCAAAAGAAGGGAAAGCAGGGTTATATATACAAGGATGAACGAAGGGTATTATCGTCTTTTCACTAAAAATATATTTTGACATCTGCTAGTCATTTTTACATGTGTCCTTTTTTCCATATGTGATGAGATTGATTTTGGAGACTCTTCATTTTGCAGGTTGTTTGTAAAGATAACAAAGAAAAACAAAGATGATTTTCATTCAGCAGTATCAGTTTCTCCTTTTATTCATCATCAAATCTCACAAATTCTTGAATGTAGCTTATAAAGTATTTTAAAAACCTGATTACAGTTCATCAAACCATATGTTAACCCATTTTTTTATATTTTTTGTTATGAGTACATGCATTACATTCAGGTGTTACTATAAATCATTATGAATTACGCCTATATAATGTATACCAATTGAGATCATACCAACGGTTTGAGACATTCACTTGAAGACTTATAATCGTTAATTTTAACTTTGAGTGATTATGATATTATAATTAACTTTTCATAAACTACTGTACGTGAGAATGATATTTTTGTTGTTGTTGTCAAATGTGTGAGGTTCATATTAGCATCTCTCGTGTTTCGGCTGCTTCTACGAACCTACGTGAAACTTAATCCAGTTAGAAATTAAGTATGTAAGTAAATTAAAAACATACGAAAAATGGGCATGCATGAAAACATATTTAATTTCTTAGAGATTAATATATAATTGGAAATTAATAGGGTTTGGTGTTCCACTGCTAATGGAAGTGGATACTGGCTTTTTGGTTAAGACGCGTTGTCACTTGTCACCGTCACATCAAACCGTTGTAATCGCACCACACGTGGCGTCTTCCGCATTGTTGTGACTTGAGTTAAAATTCAAAAATAGATAAATAATTATTGAAATCTTTGCGTTCTCACTGGGATATATCTCAATAACACACAATTAAGCACCGAACATAATATTACATCAATCTGGTGGCTTATAAACAGTTAACACCATTCAAATTACTAAAAATATACAACTTAAAAAAGGTATAGTGTGCTTTACGCGGACACGCGCTTGCTTATTTGTTTCAACGCGTAATTAAGATTTACATAACATTATTTGTGTCCAAGGAAGTGAAATTAGTTTACATTACGTGAACTCGTTAAACGCCATGAATTACATCAATATGGCGCCTTAACAGTTAACACCATTAGTTGAAAAAAAAAAAACAGTTAACACCATTCTTTTTTTTTTCTGTTCAAAACAGTTAACACCATTCAAGTTACTAAAAATATACAATTTTAAAAAAGGTATAATGCTTCACACCAACATGCGCTTGCTTATTTGTTTCAACGCTTCAATGAGATTTATATGACATTATTATTTATGTGCAACGAAGTAAAATTATAATTAACATTACGTGAACTCGTTAAACACTACGGGCAAAAAATATGTTTATTTGTCTTTAAGATTTTAACTATAAGAGGTCGGTCGGTCTCGGTCCTCGAGATTGTTTGCTATATATAGTTTTGCGTCAGCGGATTTTATTATTCCAATCATATATATACATGGATATAAATATAACGACGTCAAAAAAAATATATATAACGAGGTCGGTAAATTTGTTACCGTTAATCTTTCTAATGATTTTTTTTTTTTGTATATGCATCAGAGTCCACTAATTACACAATTAATTAATCAATTTAATTCGTTATTAATTAACTGTCCATGCAAGCCTTCAGGTGCCCATTTTCCACAGCACCATATTTATATAAACCAAACTCCCAATTGTAATATTAGAGTTGGTATAGAGATAAAATATTCGATTAACGAGTTTTCAGCGGAAACATTATTATATATATAATGTATATCAAAATGTATCTTTAACAAAGATATGTGTCTAAAATGGATATCAAGTTTGAATTGAAAGATATTCTTAAATTTAGATAGTAGGCGTTGTAAAAAATAAGAGATTAAATTAATTACAAGTTTACCACCTCGAGCACCAAAATGTATTGTTTTTTATGGCTGTGCTTTGAAAAATTATGCATATATATAACCATATAATTATTTACCTTAGTCACAAGAGTTAACCCTAGCCACAATAGTTTGACGTTTGAGCTATATAGTATGTGAGTATATGCGCTTTTAATCTTATAGCTACTACAATATGTTACGTATATATATATGCAGTATAGCTCAATTCACGTGTGACCACATGGAAGCAGCAGCACATGCTTAAACTAAGCCATCTCTCCTCAAGATTTATAGCGATTATCGTCCAATGGATCAAAAAAGTGCACCTATGTAAACAACAAACAAATATTGATTACAACTTAAACAAATCTTGGTTTATATAGATGAATAGTGTGGCTTTAAAAACAAGTTGTTCAAAAAGAAAAATTACTTGAAATGTAGGGATACGGATCGGTCCAACAATCTACATTAATTATTCCAACTAGTAACTAACAAACTTTATGATTGGCTCGCAAGATCATTATTACGAGTAACATGGTCGTCGTTACTTGTTATTTGTTTACTTATACTAATCTACTAAACCATGTTTAAAAAATTGTTAATATAATGTCCAAAAGTACGTACTTATTTGAGACAACATAATGAGTATTAGCTCGAAATAACTGACTTTAAATCAGATTCGATTGCCAAATTAAATGCTGCTTTTTTTCTACGTGGTATCACTGTCACAAATATGATCGACAAATTAAGAAATTCGATTGCCAAATACTCTTCTCCACAAAAGAGAAAAGAAGATACTGTTGTAAATTTGTAATACACTACAAATATACAATATAGCCTATCATAGCATGGGGTGGAAGCATTCGAGAGTTTGACCAACCGACTTTACCTGAAAAAACTGCCAAAACCCTTATGACCTACCAGATATTTGGCTGCAAATTGCTTCCACTTAGATTATAAAATACTCTGAGACATGCGTTCTGGCGACATTTTCGACATTTATTATAATTGCATTCACATCATAAACCAAATTAGTTAAGTTAACAAACAGTTTATCCTATTCAAAAATTAATAGTATAATACAAGAAAACAATTAGTTTCATAATTAGCAGCTTAATTAAATCAAAGGTCGGCTGCGTATCAGATCTTCTGATCATTGAAGAATACTGTCTGCCTCGTTTATTGGATGGAAGCATATGCTAGACGTAAATGGTTCCATATGAGCTCTTTATTCATGATTTAATCGGTTGATGATTGGAGAACTATAACGAATATTAAATATAATCTATATTGTTTTAATACATACATAGATATAATGTATCATTATAGACGAATAGAATCCGATCCCTAGCTATTTTTTTTTTTTTTGTTAAAAAAAAACAACAATCACATAACTAAAAGTAACATGTTGGCCGGTCTTTGTCCAAAGACTAATTAGTAGCTTTAAATATGTTTTAGCGCTGCAACATCTAGCTATAAACTTATCTTACTATATAGATACAAACAAATTTAGCATATGATTAGTATGTAACTAAGATTTGATGAGACAAGTAAGTAATAATGGATCCATGTATATTCGTTAGGCATGAGAGGTTTTAGACTAAAATGTGATAATTTCTGTTCTCTCATGTGTGGTGGCCCATATGTGATAATGTCCATAATATTGTAAGTTGAAACTACTCACATGGAGTGACGGACTCACAAAAGATCCCCTTATCGTCTAAATAAGTGTACATTTATGTATTCCCGAATTATATATATACATTCCAGACACAAAAATGGTCGCTGGAAACCAAATTCAGTTTTGTCTAAGCATGAGATTGTCATATTAATTATGTTTGGATTTTAGCAAATTTCTTACTGATTCTGTCTTGCGTCTAACACATTTTTACCAAACTTTTCTTGTTATTTATTAGAGAAGATTAGCATCTCTGACGATCAAAAAATGATTAAATGTCATCTTTGGTTTGTTTTCACAGTTTTGCAACTTACCGCTCAAGATTTTTTTTTTAATAATTAATACAAACATCTAATAATAATCAGTGAGATAGGATGCAATTTTGAATTGCCAAATTAAATTGAAATTTGAGTGCTAAAGTTGCATTACGGTATTACAGTGTAAGAGAAACTGAAATAGGCAAATCACATCTAGCGGTTGAAGATATATATAATTCCATGTTTGATATGTTGTTCACAATTAATTCGAAATTCGAAAGAGACTATCCCCTGAAACTGAAAACTTCTTGGGAGATAATTCAAAGTAAAAACAACCATTTTAAGGGAAAGAGAAACATGGAGACTTACTTGCTGATAAGTCTGAGACCTCGTGAGTCTTCTTGTTAATGATGGAGTCCATCAAAGATTTGCAACTCAAAAGACTAGTTTCTTGAAAATTCGTCAGAGAAGAAAACAAAGATTAGAAAAGAGAAATAGAGAAGTGAAAAAGCCCGTGGGGACTGCAGAAAAGGGAGGGGCCGCGCGTTGGGAGTTCCCTTAGATGGACGGAATATGGGCCCTAGCTTCACGAGTGACCCCTCCCCCACAATGAAAAAAGGCCCATAGTCTCTTTAAGACCAACGTCATTATTCGATTGAACCATACTACTAATTTACTAGTATGGAGGAGTGTGTCTTCTGCATTTTGTTCATCATAAATTTCCACAACTGAATCAGTGGAAATGCATAACTTTTTAAAATAAGTGTACCGATCTTTTAGCTAAAAGAGTGACTATAATATTCTCCAAAAGCTATAATGCCAAGAGTTACAAAACTATAAAAGCTATAATGAAGCAACAATTAACAGGACACTAATCAAAGATAAATAAAGAAATTGCGGATCAACTGATGCAAGACGGAGGAGAAATCTTGCCACGTGTCCAACCAGCAATATTCTCACACAGAGAGGTGGCTGGACCGTCGGGTCCAGGGTGCACTAGGTTAACTCCGAAGAGCATAACGTCTTTGCACGGAGCCGTGGTGCTACATTGTAACTTCACTGCCACTTTGCTCGTCGAAGTCCCCCAAATGTTAATGAACCTCACGTTTTGTATCTGAACTTGAGAATGAGACTGCATTTTTTCACAAAAGAACCCCAAAAAAAAAAAAGTCAAACTAGATCATCTTAAAAAAACACTAAAGTATTTACTACTTCTTCCCTCGGAGATTACCATTTTGCTACACTGGTTGTTTGGACAGTATTGTTGATCTATGTTGATTGGGGTTTGGACACTGATCATCTGGAGATTCTGGAAAAGAAAATTCGAAACTATGTTCCGTGATGCCGAAGGAGCCAATGTCTTGATCCGTACTCCGTTACTCGTACCTCTAAAGATCGAATCCCTAACGGTTAATCCCTGAACGGTCTTCTCGTCTTTATACCTCCCAAGGCTTCCAACGCTGATCCCATGACCTGGCCCACACGTGACACTAGAGATATCCAGATTGATGTTTCCGGCCAAGATTGCAATGCAGTCGTCGCCGGTTCCGATGTCTACATGGTGGATCTTCATGTTTTTCGATGAGCCTATCTTGATCCCATCAGTGTTAGGGCTGTCTCCAGGAGCCCTAATGCTGACGCTACTGATCTCAAAGGATTCAGCGGAGTAGATGTTGATGTGGCCCATTTTGCTGTTGATCGACTTGATGTGTTGAATTCTCGAGAATCTCACGAATTGGAACCCGATGTTCATAGGTAGAGGCCGGCAATTAGGGTTTCTCTGGCAATCGTTGCGTGGCCAAGAGTAGCTTCCTTGTCCATCAAGAATGCCACCGCCCGAGACCGTGAGATAGTCAACGTACTTGAAAATGATCCACGTGTCCTGTTTGATGGCGTTAGATTCTTTAGGAGCCAGCAAAGTTCCTTTGATGATGAAACTAATCCGACTTTGGCATGGTCCCGAGAAGGATACACCACCGAGGAAGAAAGTACCGAATGGTACGTACACTCTAGGAGTTCCTTTCCATCGGCACGCTTCTTGCCACGCCTTTGTAAACGCCTAAAACGCGAAAACAAAATCAAACGCATGTTATATATAATTAATCAACAGATTCGAAACATACAAGTTTGAATTACTTGGATAAAAAATGACAAATTTTCAGTACAATAGCATTATCTGTTTTGCCGTCACCACGAGCACCGTAGCGTCGGACGTCGAAAACCTTTCTTCCAGCGAGAGCGGAAGAACCGGCGGCAGAAACGCTGCCTGCTGCTACGGCAGAGATTAACAAAATCAACGTAAAACCAAGAACAGTGGAAGCCATTTCTTTCTTGTCCTTAAGCTACCTCTTGGTCTTGCTACTTGAAAAGGTTTTAAAGACGGAGAGAAATCTAGTTACGTAGTCCAGTGGCTCTGGATTCTACTATATAGGAAAGCTATATCAGTGGCTTGATTCTTATTACCGAATTTTTGGTTAAAATTTATATGAGTTTCTATAATGATACAAATTGATTTGTTTCTTACTTACTCATAAAACTTAATTTGTTTCTTTAACTGTACCCACCAGTTGATTTGTTTCTATAACTGTTGCTAATGATTCTTAAATATAATGAAGTTCTTTTCTAATTTTCTTGACCGCAGAATATCAGTATATATCGTAATTTGTTCCAATCATAGTCGATTAATTGTTGTCCAAAAATAACGATAAATTCCTTCCGTACGAATATATATCTAAAAACGTTTCCCAAATTTAGGTTTCGGATTATAAATTCACAGCCATATTGGGATCACTTACCAAAAACATGTTAATATAATGGTAAATATCCCAAACTCATAGTTTCGGATATGATTGTAAATTTATAGTCAAACATTATAAAGCAAAACCCGCTCGAACGACGGAGACTGTTGGCATCAAAAAGCTGAGATTTTATAATAGTTTGTCAAAATTATTAAATACTTTCGTAAAAGGCGATCCAATAACAAAAAGAAAATGCAGGTTTTGAGTCAAGATTCTTAGTCAAATCTTACTCTGATCTGTTCTAGCCAAACTTGACTTGCATTTTTATGTTCATGTGTTGCTAGATATTCTGAATATTTGGATGATATGAAAACTATAATAAGGGAATAGTATCATAAAAATAAATGATTGATAAATAGGCAAAAAATGACAAAAATGAATGTATATACATCAATTTAATTTATGCTTCTAACTACACAGATTTTTTTTTTTGTCAACAATTTTATGTTTTCTAAAACTATTCAGTTATTTAAATCGGTGGAATTGAATTTACGGAATATAAAACTACACATAATTAGAAACTTGGAATCATCCTGAAAATTCAAAAGATAGCCAAAAATGATGATTAACTTAAAATTTAAGTTGGTAAGTAAAAAAAATATGGTAACTGTTGTATACGATTTGAAATGAATCTGATGTTCAGCAAATAAAAAACTCGCAAATGTACAACCCGTATGATAACTAATTTGAAATTTGTGAAAAGAATTTGGGCAAAATGAATATGAGTCATAGGCAATGAATGGGTCCCTCTTGAAACTTGCCATGAAACATCCTATGTAACTATCCTTGACTTCTTGCATCATCGTGGAATTTCTAATCTGTTACAAAAAAGTATGATTAGTTAATCATTTCTATCAAGTTATATGTTAAGCAACTGTTAAACAACAAAAAAAGTTATGAGTTCATAAAACTCAAGGTAAAAATAAATAAATATTTACCTCATAATTGTTTAAATTTATATTTATACCCTTTCCATTCCTAATTGTTTGATTTTTTAGTTTTCTCACACAATATTAAGAAACAATTGCAATACTTTTTGTTTACTTTTCAATAAAATGAGAAGAAAGATGAAAAAAAAATGTTACCTTTGACTTTTTAATTATTTTCATACTTGACAAGATTTTACTTTTTTTTCTTATAAAACGCAATACATTAAATATTGTGCAGAATGGTAATCTTTTGAGAACAAAATAAAAATTCAAAAAATTAAACTATTAGAAACAGAGGGAGGGAGTATGTTAATATTAATTACTTCATGATATTATGTTTTATATACTCTTTTTTTCTTTCTTGTTCTGAAACTGGAACTACGGATATTAATGACGTAATATTATAATCATTGAGACACCTAACTAATTTTTTTAATCACTTTCAAAAGGCGTTACGCTCATATTTTCTAGAAGCATAATCAAAAGACGATTTTATTTTGTTATATAACGAAAATAGTGTTTGAGACGTGTAAATTTCCACACACGTGCAAATACTTTCTCAGTTTTCTAAAATTTATTTCTTAGACTGGTTTCAAGTGATGTGATGGGATTTCATCAAAGAAGGTGTGCTTTGACCTGATAAAAGAAAATGTAATATTTGGTAAAAAATAATATATTTAGATAGTAATGGTTAATGAAAAATTTAATGTTTGGTCCGTCAAGGCTGCTGGGTTTTGTTAACGGTCAACATGTCTCAACGATCAAAGAGTTCGTCGTATTTACGCATAAAGCAATGTGATTGTGATTGATCTCAGCGAGCGAGGGTATAATGAATTAATGATTGTAGTAAACCAATTAGTTTAGTTTTTACTGTTCACAATAGGACCGTTTAGTTTTATAATCTTGAAGATGTATAATCCTCCTAAACACTGAACCACAGTTGTCTCACATAAAAAATGAACACCACTTACTTTTATTCCTTTCTAATCTAAGAAAAATTGTTAAATTCTTTTTTGTTTTTGTTTTAAAATCTAATCATTAAAGAGATTTCTTAACTAGTACCGTTGGTGTTAAAATCTACTACAAATTATAGTCAGTTATTTCATTTAACAGCCGTATAAAAAGTCTTTAGTCAGAAAAACCCTTCAATCGTAACATATGTAAGCACTAAGTGGTTGGCCCGCACATATGTACAGGTATAATTTTTTGATATATATAGTTAATTGTAATATTTATGTATTGATTAGTTTTTTTAAACATTGATATGTTTGTATATATATATTGTTTTAATATTTCACAAATTTTTTTCTGAAACCAATGTATTTTAAAACTTTTTATTTTTATAATGCTTGTAAGAATATAAAATCACAAATAAATAAGTTATATTAAATAATAATTAAATTCTTATAATATATTTTGAATATTTCTATAATATGCTTTATTTTTCTTTACACAATTTACAATATATTTTTTTGCTTCTTACATAATATGAATTTGCAAATACATATATAATATATTTTAAGTATATATTTTTCTTGACTTATTACAAATTAAAATGAAATAGTTTTTACCATTTTTACTTATTCATAAGAGCAGATAGATGGTTGACATGCATGTGTGGGCATACCAACCATTTCACTACACTAACAATAGATAAAGATTTTTTTTAAAAATATAAACTGTATAATAATTAAAATAAAAAATTAGACTGTAATCAAGCTTAACAAAATACATGCATGAAAAAGTTTGTATGTGGCTTCAACTAATGCACAATTAATATTTATGTACGTAAGCATATTTATTAAAAAAGTCAAAATATAGCTCTTACGTGTTAAAAAGTTTTAAAGTGACTTTGTAAAACAAAGTGCAAGAAATTTATTTTATATACTTCTATTTTTATTTTTTATTCATATTTGTTTCATCTTATTTTAATTTATTCTTTCGTTCGGTTATATTTCATTTTATTTATGATCTCAAATTTTTGATATAAATGAAAAAAAATTTATGTATATATATATGAATATGATATAAAATTTTATTTTTATTTAAAATATGATAAGATGATATGGTAACATAAGTTATGTATGTTTTATAAAACAATAATAAAAAGATGATAAAAGTTATAGAAAAATATATGGTCCTATTAATATTAAAAATGATAATTAGTATATACTTTATTCATTTAGTAAATATTGGTTTGAAAGAAATTTATTTTAAATTAAGTTTTCTAAAAAATTTCAATAAAAGTTAATTAGTTTTTATTATTTTTAAAACTTTATTATTTAACTTGTTTTTATTATGATTGGATTTTATTTAAAATTTTATTATTTAATAATTTGTTTATTTAAAACTTGTTTAGAAGTTGTTACTAGATCTTATAAATTAATAACTTTCCAAAATAAAAATATATCATACTTCAAGTATTATTAATATATCAAATTTTTACTATTCTATTAGATAATTTAGTATTATTTTTTTTGTTTTATATGAAATTTTAATATATATATATTGTTGAAAAAAATTTGTAATTATATTTTATGAAATGATGAATATATGTAAAAATTATAATAATAATAATAATAATTATTTTCTGTTAACTTAAATTTCTAATTTTGTGTTATAAATATAATCAAATGTATTTATAATTCCATATTTTTTATGATTTTAATTCAATTAATCAAAACATTTCATTTATTTAAGGAAGTTTGACATGTCACATTTACATGTCATCAATTAAAAGCACAAACTTTGACTGTAATATTGTCAAGTCAACTATTTTTAATAATGTTATTTTTCAAATAATATATAGTGGTGATTTTTCGAACTAGAACCATAATGTCCATATTTAAACATCGTTCGACCAATAAAATAATTAGGAAATTCAACGACCACAACTAAAATGACATATATTATATTGGTCGTCGAAAATTTATCATGGCCTCAGGAAAAAACAAAAAAAATACTAGATCGTCATCATGTAGGACCAGATAATAATTACTGTTTTCAAAAATAATTACTTAATTGACCCACTTCAGTTCCCCATAAGGATTATATAATCATATGATTCATAATTTCATATCTCTCTCTTAATCTATATATATAACACAAGTAGACATATAAAATTGCAAACATCTGGGAGAGTTAAACTGCATACTAAGATCATTCTTCTTCATCGTTAGCAACAGTACTGAAACTCTCAGATTTTGTTTCTTTTTTTCTTATATTGATTCGTTTAATAATGTCTGGAAGAGGGAAAGTGAAAGCGGAGCCGATGAAAGTTGTGTTCATAAACACACAGTACGTTGAGACAGATGCTCGTAGCTTCAAGAATGTTGTTCAAGAACTCACCGGTAAGGATGCCATCGTCGCCGCCGGTCCTTTCGAGTCTCCCTCCGCTTCCGACGGCCGTTGTTACGGTGGTGGTAATAATATCGGCGAAGATACTAGACGGCTCTACGGCGGCGGAGGAGGAGGAGGAGGAGCGGGGACGACGACGGAGTTTGATAGATTTTTCAAGGAGATGCCTCCCATGGAGGAATTGTATAAACTGTGGTCAGAAAATTGAGTCGTTAATTTAATTCTATGTTAGTGATTTTAATCATGTTTTTTCCTTCAAATCCAACTCTTTTCCTGTAACTGGTGACCTAAGGAATTGAAGAGAACTAGATAATTATCTGCGCTACGCTGCGGGATATAATTTTAAATTTTAAATTTATTTTTAAATAAAAAATTGTTTTTAACAATATAAATAAATAAGTTTTTATATTTAGGTTTTGTTTGTTTTTCCATCTAAATTGTAATGAAATTTTTTTTTTTTTAATTAAATTAAAAAACATTCAGATAATTATCTCGATAATTTTTTAAAATTTAGACAAATTTACGAGAATCATCTCAATAAACCAAATTAGACCATCTATTTCAATCTAAAATAATAAATGACTAAAATATTCTTAAAATTAAAAAAAAAAATCAAAAACCCAAAAATTTATTAAATCACATTTTTTGCCAAAACCGATAAAAACATTAAAAAAAATCATGTCTTTCGACAAAACTATAACTTTATTTTTGTATCAAAACCTGAAAATAGTAGTTTTGTTTTCCAAACTGATAAAAGCACGTTTTTCTACTAAAAACGGGAAATAAAATTTTCCATTCAGAATTAATAAATTATATTTTCTCGCAAAACCGTCAATATTCTACCAAAACTGCGAAATTATATTTTCTCGCTAAAATCAAGAAATTATATTTCTCAGCAAGAATCTGCATTTTTCCGTCAAAATCGATAAATCATGCTTTCTTGCTAAAACAAAAAAAAAATTCATCTTCTTGCAAAAATTGAGAAATAGCATTTTTCATCAAAATCAAAAAAAAAATTATTTTTCCGCGAAAACTATGAAATTGCATTTTTCCGCCAAAACCAAAAAAATTAATTTTCTCATCAAACCAAAAATCATGTTTTCCTACCAAAACCGATAAATTGCATTTTCTGCAAAAACCGAAAATTGCATTATCGTGCAAAAAGTTACATTTCTGACCAAAACTGATTCAAATTATGACACACTTAAAGTTAGGAAACTTAAATATATTAAATTTTGTGATTAACAATTTTTTTATAAATTTTAACTAATATTAATTCAATAAATTCAATTACTTTTTTTGAAAATTACAATATTAAGGCATATGATGTGGTAGTTGAACGGGTGTCGTCATCCTCCTTGCTTGCAATTTCATCTTTCATAAGTTTAGATATTTCATCTGCCGCCCTGTAAAATTACAGAAGCATACACTTATAACTCTAATGTACTCCAACATTTCTAAATTAGAAACTATGAAAAAATGAAATCATTATAAACAAAGGGGACTTACACAGCGGTTGTAATTGGAGCCTCCTCATTGTCCTTGCCAGCAACTTCATCTTTAATGGATTTAGAAACTTCATCTCCTAATCTGCAATTGCTGCGGGTGAAAAATAATTTGACTATCAAGATCTTCACCTTGGCATATTTGCTTAGTTGGGTTATTATATATATCATTCAACAATTGTGTATTTGAAAAACGAGAAAACATTTTGACTCACTTGGAAGTAGGGACTGAAACTGCATCTTTAGAAATGGGTTTCACAGGCTGATACAGCTGAGAACAGGAAAGCTCTAGAACAACTAAACGAAACAGATCAGTGTAAGATCTAGATATCTTACACTGAGGGGCACATATACTAAACTGCTGCGCTTGATAGAAACACCACTGCTTGGAGATGGAGTTTCCTTTGCTTTGGATCCACTTGCAACGACGTGTTTATGAGTAGCAGCCTTGGGTGGTGTTGCCTCAATCCTCTTTCTAGTGATATCAGTGGTGTTGCGTCAATCCTCTGTAAGTGACGCTGTTCCATCGAATTAGCATAATCTTTGTCTAATTACGATTCTCATTCATCTTGAGAACATGAAACAAACATAATCTGGTAAATAAGAAGAGTATTTGGAGAGGATCGTAGATGGTGTTGAGATGATAATTTTACAATACTTGATGAAACTTCAAATAACTCAGGAAATTAGTGGAGGCGTAACCAGCAGCCGAAGCAGTCAAATCTGATACTTATTATCTTCAATGATAGGATTGGATCTTTTTTGAGACGCACAAAAAAATCTAACACTACCAAGAGAAAATCTCGCTGATGGGATTTACACCATTGCCGGTTTGATTCAACATCGCTAATATCGTTCTTGGCTAGGACTGGACGGTGGTGCCCAAGACGAAGTCGTTTGCATGAAGTTTCCATCGAAATCACTTATATTTTATTTAATGGAAGCAAAGGATGTCATGCACCTTTCTTATTAAATCAAAACTAATGTTTTAATCAAAGCTGATGTGTAAAAATTTAAACTGATTTGTATTAATTAAAATGTTTTGATTGGTTTCTTAAAATTGTTGATGTGTCAATTTCTCAAAGATTGAAAAATCTGATGTGTCAACATATGGAGAAACTTGTGTGTTTTTGTTGTATTGATACTAAATTACTTTAAAAGAAAATGAGAAAAAATAATAATTCTTATTATCTTGTTCTTTTTATTCATTTTCTTATTCATTCCTATTGTTATTTATATGGTCACCAGTTAAAGCCTTTATTTCATCTACTAATATAATCTCATCTTTTAAACGGATCGTTACTCTTAACGTTAAGTCCAATTTCGAAAATTATATTTTGGAAACTATAATAATACGGCCCATTTTTCTTCAATTTTTTAACGGGCTTACATAGTATTGTTACTTGATGGCCCATGAAGCCCAATTTGTTTTTTTTGGTTGATGTTCGTGGAAATGGATTTTTTTAAAGTTTGGGTTTTTTAAATTTATACAAACTGATGTATATGTATTGAAAGTTTGAAACCGAGAAAACAATATAAAAAGCACGCTACCATAATATTCTTTCGACAAAGTTTTTACAAATTTTTAATCCAATATGTTAATGTTATAGTTCACAACAACCAAATCAAGCATTATGTGAACTAATCTTTTGTGTTTATATATATAAGATAGAGTGTTTGTTTTGGGTAAGTGCATAAATGGCTAAGACAAATAGCAACAAAACCCATGGTTGACCCTCTCTAACCAACCTTAACCAATTTTGTGTTGGTTGAACCATTTCTTTTCCATCAACCCAAACAAACACACACGAATTTATTCGTCTCGTAATAATCTTTCAGTTTAGATCTCTGGCATATTTATTCTTTCCTCTTTTTGGGTAATCAAAATGATGTGGATTCAACGACTATTAGAAAATTTCTTATACGTCAACATATTATATAATTTTTTTGAAAAATTACAAAGCTAATAAAAGAATCCCGTATTGTCGTCAAGAAGACAACTTTTAATTCAATCAAACGTAACACTAACGCCGACTAATCGATTTTAAAAATATCACCAAACTTTGAACAATAATTTGTGATTAAGTAAATCCTCGTACAAATAATACCAGAAAGATATTAAAATTTCCCACATTTGTAAAATTGAAGGTAAGTTACGAATAGATTTATATGAAATGCGAGAAAGAGACACACAATTAGGAAATGGATATAAATAAAAAAAAAGACATAAGTATATTATTCTGACCCAACTCGGTGCTTAAGACAAAACCGCCTTCACAAGATTTCGTATATTCTAATCTTTTTTTGGTCAACAAACCAAAAATAAAACGCCACGACGTCGTTGTAGGAAACTGAGCGTCACGCGTAAACAAAGAAGCGCGTGGAGGAAAGAAGCAGAGGATTCTTTGCCTCGTCTCTTACTCCATCGTTTCCTGTACCCTTTTGCTTCTCTCCACCTCATCATCAATCTCTCTCTCTCTCCCTCTCGTGATTTTCCGTCAAAATATTAAAAAATTTCCGTCAAAACGAATCGAGGACGAAAAAAAAAAAAGCAACAAAACAGATAATACAAATTTCAGATACAGAACTTCTTCTAATCTTCTGTTTGTTTTCCCTGGATTTTATATAATACGAAACAGACACACACAAACACTGTATCTTTGCTTTTCGTTCTCTCTCTCCTCTCTCTCTCTCTCTCTCTCTCTCTCTCTCTCTCTCTCTCTCTCTACAGAGTAAAGTTCTGATCGTGTCTCTTATCGTTTACCCAAACCCATCTTGATCTCGTTTCTTGTTTTCTTCTGCCGTCGAGATTTTGTTCCTCGAAGTTTTCAGGTTTCCTTCTCCGATTTATCTTTTTCGTACTTCTTCTTCTTGCTTTTACAGAATTTGTAGGGTTTTTTTGTTTGTTTGTTCTGTTCAAATTCGTGGAATTATCTGGAACTGACTCCTCTTGTTTAATTGGGTATTAAGGGTTTCATAATGTTTTGTATAATCCGTCCTCAAATTGAAAAATTTCCAAAGTTAGGGCTTTTATGTATATGCTAATTCATTTGAAACGGCTGCAAAATTTAGGGTTTTACCCAAATTGTGTGCTGAAATGGAAATTTTCATTTTTGTGTAGGTTGAAAACTTTCCTACGGTGGAGATTGTTCCCAATTTAAAGCATGTACCTTTAGATTAGAAATTAGGTTGTCCTTGTTTCTTCTCCGGTGGCGATTGTAGAAGAAAGGAATAGTTTTTAGCTGTTAATGTGATTAGTAAACATAAGTCTCTGCTCTAAAGAAGGTAGGAGAATAGGATTGAGTAGGAAAATAGTGAGAAAAGATTAGAACTTTTGGTGAGATGGGTAATAAGTTGGGAAGGAAGAGGCAAGTGGTGGAAGAAAGGTATACAAAGCCACAAGGGTTGTATGTGAATAAAGATGTCGACGTTAAAAAGCTTAGGAAACTGATTGTAGAGTCAAAGCTTGCTCCTTGCTATCCTGGGGACGATGAAAGCTGCCACGACCTTGAAGAATGCCCGATTTGCTTCCTGGTTTGTGTGATTTTTCAGTCTTTTCTGAAGATTGCTTCGTGTGGACATTTTATTTTTTTTGTAGATCTAACTCAGCCATATTCCTTTCTTGTGTTTCTAGTACTATCCTAGCCTCAATAGATCAAGATGTTGCATGAAAAGCATTTGTACAGGTAACAAATAAGACCATTACGCTTCTTTATTCTTTTCATTCATGTTTTCTGTTTCATTTGACATGTAAATTCTATTTTGTTGCAGAGTGTTTTTTGCAAATGAAGAATCCTAACTCAGCTCGGCCTACTCAGTATCCTTAATCTTAAACCTGTGCAATAACTTTTAGGGACTTGTGTTGTTGATTGGATGGATCTTCTCTTTTATGTTCTCCCTTAACATTATGAGGTGCCCCTTTTGTAAAACACCTAATTATGCTGTCGAGTACCGTGGAGTAAAGTCAAAGGAGGAAAAGGGCATTGAACAAGTTGTAAGTCAGAAACAATCATTCACAGTAACTTTTTTTCTCGATAAAGCTTGTTGAGATTGCTTTAATTCATATGAAATATTATGGTGTCTGTATGCTTTTTTGTAGGAAGAGCAACGGGTTATAGAAGCCAAAATAAGGATGAGGCAGAAAGAAATGCAGGATGATGAAGAGAAGATGCAGAAACGTATGGAATCATGTTCCTCTAGCACAAGCGCAATGACTGGTGAAATGGAATACGGTTCAGCTTCAGGTCGGTTTGTTTTCTGTCTCTCTCTCAGAACGTTTTTAATCTTTCAGTCACAAACAAATGGTATCACAAAGGCGGTTTTGATGACAGGCTTCATTTTCTGTTCTCTGGTTTGCAGCTATATCTTATAATTCTCCTATGGAAGATGCGGAAAATGATCCATCGCAGAACGTATCAGTTGTTAGACAACAACGTTCACACCCTCGAGGAAACAGGTCTGTCTTTTCTTTTGTTAAGTTCATATATGGAGTAATGTATTTATAAGTTGTAACCAGGGAAGTTCTAAATGATTGTGACTCTGTTATTAGACTTGTTCTTACTTTTGGGAGCTAATTGGTTTATTTCACTTAGGAATGAAGTGAGTACCGTATTAACAAACGTTTTTATCTGAAGCCATATTAACAAACTAGCTTAATGCACACTGATGAAACTCGAATCTGAGTGAATCTTATTGGACTGACTATATGTGTGGAAACTCGTCAGGGATGATGAGATTGACGTGGACCTTGAGGAGTTAATGGTCATGGAAGCAATATGGCTCTCCATTCAGGTAGAATTGTTTGTTTACGCTTAATTGTGTAACGTTCTACCTCTGATGACAATTTATTTCGTTAATTCTCATTGGCTTTTTTCACTATTTCTAGCAGGAAACAGGGATGCCGAGAAATAATACAGCGTGTGGGGAAATGACACCTTTCAGGCAATATGTACCAGAAGATCATAGTTATGTTTCTTCGCCACCACGAGTGGCTCCAGTTGCAGAGCCGGAAACGCCGTCTTCATCATCTGGTGGGCTTGCTTGTGGAGTCGCTGCACTTGCTGAACGCCAGCAAATGGTTGGCGAATCCTCCAATCACAGTCACAATCACAACCACAACGTCAACGTTTCTTCCTACAGTATGCTTCCTGGCAATTGCGACAGTTACTACGACATAGAACAAGAGGTAGATGACATCGACAACCATCATCATCATCATCATCATTACCATAATAACCACACGGAGATGGGAGGAGAAACAGGGAGCAATAGCTATGTAAGCTCTTACATGAACGGCCAGAGCTTCCACAACTTTCCTCCACCTCCTCCTCTGGTCATTGTTCCCGAGAGTTTTGAGGAGCAGATGATGATGGCTATGGCTGTGTCTTTAGCAGAGGTTCATGCCACGACCACGAGTGCGCCAACTGAAGTTACTTGGCAATAAATAGGGGTAATAATGGAAACTCATGGGTCTGATGATTATCACTTCATTCATATAATGTCTGTTCCTATAGGAAGAAAGAAAGAAAAACAGAATCTCTAGTTTTAATAGAAAAAAAAAAGTTGTGCTGTGTTCAAGCTTCCAATGTTACATCTCTCTTAATCGTTCTTCTATTCGATCATCTTCATAGACAAATAGTGAAGATCACTTGTTCTTGTTGTCTTTTTTTTTTTATGTAGTTAATGAATTAGAAAGAAGTCAAAGTTGGAGAGTGTTGACCAAATTAGTGTTAAGGGTTTAACATGGGGTTCCTCACCTTTCTTCTCAACATCTTTTTCTCAACCGTTTAAGATGAAAATTGTAATCAATTGGATTATGATTTATGACTAACAACTAACTAATTTCTCAACATCTAATATCTCGATTCGAGCAACTCATGTTTGTGTTAGGTTCTTTACGTGTTCTTTGATTTTATGTTTGGAACGGGAACAGATTCTCCCAAAATTCGGTTACTCATTAGTACCAACATCATTTTAAAAGTTAAAGGTGGTTGTTACTGGTTAGTTGCTACTTCCTTATCATAAATCATAGTGGCGCTGACTTTTACTTTATAGCTTATATATATACTATATTGATTTATTCATAACTTACATAAATATGGTTATTTAACACACAAATGAAAATATATATATATATATATATATATAGCTAGTAACTGTCTATGGTGATCAGACTCGTAGGTAACATTTTAAATAAATTTATGGGTTTCAAAAACCATTATTTATGTTTGCTAATTCTTTCTATTAATCTGAATTATGATAAGCTGACAACACTACTACAAAATTACTATTAGATTACAACTTTAATTTATTTATAGTTTTTTAAACTTGAAGGTGCATCTAATAGTATTAGTTTATATAATGAATGCTCTATCCAAAATAAAAGAGAACGTTGGAGTATTAAAGAAAAAAGAAAGGGAAACTAAAAAAAAAGAGTTCAGACTTTGTGGAAACCGACAAAAAAACGATGTCAGACATATTTGATGATACGGTACACACATGTGTGTATATTCAAAAAAAAAAAAAACATATGTCAGCACATCATTTCTTAAGTATCTACACATGTACTAATACAGAAAATGGATGATATATGATCATTTCAAATTTAGCTCTTATGAACCAAAGACATGCTACAGTTGACATATGATTTTTCAAATTCAGCTCTTATAACCAAAGAATATGTCATGTTTGTGTCACTCATCATGCAGAAATGCGAAATCAGATTATTAGAATGTAATAAAAGTTAAAAAGGAAAAAAAAAACATTATGATTACACTGTAAATGTGGGACCTTACCTTCCAAGACAGTAAAATTACACATTTGTCCTTTTCTCCCCCAAATGTCTTTTCCTCTCTCACCAGCTTTATTTCAAATCTTCAAACGTCTCTCTCTTATTCTTGGATTGAGAGAAGTGCCTCGAAGAAAAATCTCCACTCTCTCTCCCTCTCGATCTGTTTCTCACTCTCACTCTACTCACAACAATAACAACAAAAGCTACGACCTTTCTCTTTTCTCCACATTTTGGGGTTTTCTTGTCTTGGTGCTTTTGTTCTTACTAACCAATTAACCAGACCAGCAAACTCAAAAATATCTCCTTTCTTTTGGCTTTGTATCAATCTGCTTCGATTACTCAATTAGTCTATCGCAATCACTCCCTAATTGCAAAGAAGAAACTGAGAAAGTAGTCAGATTTCAACATTGTCCTCGATTCCTTTGGAAAGGTCAGTTATTTTCTTTACTATGGGTATATAAGAAATGGAACATAAAACTTTTGCTAAGAATAAGAGAAATTTGATTTTGTATTTTCCGCTTAATGGGTTTCTCTGGGTCTGGTGAAAGGTTGAAGATTTCTTCTGATCTTGAATATCTACTTCGAGTGAAAGAAAAAAAGTAATGCTTTTTATAATATGTGCTGCTCGCACTTCTCTGTTCGTATGTGTCTGCTTTAACCTGAGGAATGCTTTGATTTTCATCAGATCATTTAACCTTTGGAGTCTCAACAACTTGAAAATCAGAATGCCAAAACCAAGGTAACAGCTCTTAACTATAATTCTCCAACAAAATTTTGATTTGGAGTTAGAACTGAAATCATCGTTGTTGTTAGATTCTCTGATCTGGCATGAGTAGTAATAATTGCAACCTTTTGTGTCTTCTTGTGGTCTGAGTAGTATTAGAGGAGGTTTAGAGTTGCCTCAGAGGCAATCTCCAAGGCTGAGGTTATCATCATCATCATCATCCACTTCCTCTGTTCCGCATCACCTCCACCGTTCGATTTCAGACCGGACTCCAAAGCTCGGACTTGACCGTAGATCTCCGAGGAGCGGTGGGCCTTACACGGATCCGCTGACTCAGAAGAAGCTTGGAACTCGCATCTCTGGCTTGGAGTCACAGCTAGGACAAGCTCAAGAGGAGCTGAGATTGCTCAAAGAGCAGTTGTCTAAGGCTGAGGCTGCCAAGAAACGTGCTCAAGAAGAGCTTATTCGTAAGAAGAGATCCAAGAAACCGAACTCTCCTGCTCCGGAGAGAGACGACATTCCTGGAGATGTGCATCAGGAGACTGATGTGTTCGAGGTTCCTGTTGAGAAAGCAAAAGAAAGTGAGAAGACGAAGAATGATGAATTGGCTTTAATGGAAGACCAAATCAATGTATTGAAAGCTAGATTATACGACATGGAGAAAGAAAAGGTATCGCTTGGGAAGGAAAACGAGAGGCTCAAGAGCCAGTTAAAGAAGACGGATTCAGAAATGTCCAGCGCAAAGGTGAAAGGGGATGAGATAGCTTCAAAGGTGAATCAGATTGGGGAAGAACTGGAAGAAAGCAACGAGAACACTGCGAAGCTAAAGAAGAAGCTTGAGTCCGTGGAAGAAGCAAAAGAGAGTCTAGAAGCCGAGATGAGGAAGCTGAAAGTTCAAACCGAGCAGTGGAGGAAAGCAGCAGATGCTGCAGCTGCGGTTCTATCTGGAGGTGTTGAGATGAATGGTCGGTTCTCAGAGCGGTGTGGGTCAATGGAGAAGCATTTTGCTGGCCGGTTTGTGGGATCACCGGGAATGGCAGATGATTCTGATGACGGGAGTGGGAAGAGGAAAGGTTCAGGGATGAAGATGTTTGGTGACTTGTGGAGGAAGAAAGGGCAGAAATAAAGTGTGACAGAACAAAAAAGTAACGTGTGATTCAAGAAAGCAGTGTGCTTTTTTTACTTAGTGGGATGGGATGATCCAAGTGTGTCTACGAAATGATGGCTCATCATTTCAGATTGAATAATTATCTAGAGACCTTCTAGTCATTTAGACGATCATTGTACTGCTTTACCTTAATGAAATTCTGATTTAATTGCCAAAATCTGAAAAAACCTCTTAATCACTTCTTTCAGTTTCTGATTTAAAAATTCCTCAATAACCTTTAGAGTGTAACTTTTGATTCTTGATATCAAACAATTGGAACAAGAAAATTCCTAATTTTGTGCAAGAAACCAACAGTACATTAATTCCCGGTTTTGGCGTTTTCCTCTCTCGTTAACCAACCGCCTTCTGGTTTACCAAATCGGACCGGGTTTATGTCTTCTTAAGAATGGTGCCCGGTTAGGTTTTCGAACGATTAGGGCCCCCATACATACAGTTCCGGTCCGATATCTCCCCAGATCTTTTTTTCTGACAAAATAAACAAGCTCCCAAGTCCCAATCCAAGTAACAGTATTTTCTTTTCTTTTAACTTTGACCAATTCAATATTTTTAAACTTTGAGAAAAATTCTCAAAGATGAAGGTTTTGTCGTATTCTTATGATTATATCGGATACAAAATATCAGGAACTGAACAATATGGAATACGAAGTTGTTATACGAAACTTTTAGTTAGCAACGTTAAGAAAAAATTACAACTCTTGGAGATATCCAAGTTGGTCCATGCATGTGAATTTGACAACACAGTGACGAGTCACTTTCCTTTAAAAGAATGGCGCAATCTGTAAGTAAACGACACGCTGTCCAAAATTCATATATGTATGTTTAGATCACTAAACATTTTGGTGCCCAAAGCAAATCCTCGGACCACTTTCGACGTGTAATATTAATATTTTCGGCTGTAATGTCTTTATCGTTATCTTTAATACTGTTATAAAGTTGTTAGCCACAAAATGTTACAGGTTTGATCCAACAATGTATATACAATGTATTTTGCCAGTTTAAGGTTCTGTTTTGTTTTGTTTTTTTTTAATAAATTAGCTTTGTATTTATCGTATTAGGTTCTTCTGTGACCAAAGAAAACAAATACTATCAAGTATCAGTTATTTAAAAAACTACTTGATGCAATGTAAATACTGATATTAGAAAAGAATAAGACCAAAAAACACTCACGTTTTTACAATTATTGGATCGACAATAATTTAAAACATACATATGCAGATTATAGATCACGCTTTAGATTTATTAGACCTACAAAATCACGACCAAAATTATGAACTATTTGACGAATGACGATACACTTGTTTTTTCAAATAGTTTTCCTTTCGAAATGTTGAAGCCTATTGTCAGACAATCTAGAGTTGTAGGCAGAGTTTTTATACTCAGACCAAGTGAACTCTTGGTACAAGCTCTCCTCTTCATTGTCTAGAAGACAAGTCAAGGGAGCGATTCTCTGAGTCAGCGAAGGTCCTGCAAAGTAAATCATAGAAACCCTAGATTTCCTGCTGTTGGCTAAAACCCTATGCTTCACGCTCTTGAACCTCCCATTTGTCAAAACCTGCGATATCAAAGATTGGTCTCAGCTTCAGCTTAGGATCTTCCAGTTATATATATATAAAAAAAAGTTCTTAACGATTTTGGCGAACCTGGAGAGAATCTCCGACGTTGAAGAAGAATGAGGAGTGATCGGCAGGGACAGAAATCCAACAGCCGTCAGTTAGATTGATTTGGAGACCACAAGTGTTGTTGGATCTTAAGACAGAGATGATTTGAGGATCTGTGTGTTCGCCAAAACCAATCACATTCTTGCCACCATTGGTCTTCTTGTTGATAAGAGGGCACGGTGGATAGTGATTAAGCCTGAATATCGAATCTGTGTTTTGATCAGAGACAAGCTTGCTAAGTGTGTTCCTCGGTTTGATCCCTAACCCATCTGTAATCATCTCCAAGACCTCGCATGTCATCTTTCTCACTGATATTGTGTACTCTTCCAATGCGTTTCTGCATATCAAAATTCATGAAAACTGAGACGAGCAACGAACAGAGCATGAACTATAAAACATAGCATGAAACAGAGTATGACAAGGAAAAATGTCAACTACACAAGGGGCATTTTTAGTTCTAACCTGAAAGTTTGCGGGTTTTTCAAAAGACTTGGAATCAATGAATTCGAAGCGGAATCAAGAGTAGCATTCATCAACAAGTACTCGACCCAACCCACGTCACCATTCCGACCAATCTTACTGTTCCCGTATCCAAATGGATAACCTGCGACTTGGGTTTTCTCTGACTTGGGCAGCGAAAAGAACTCGACGGCCTCGTATTCCAAAACAGAGACTAGCTCCGAGGGAACGCCATGGTTAATCACCTTGAAGAAGCCAAAGTCTTCACAGGCTTTGACGAGGGCGTGTTTTGATTCTGGGTCAGAGATATCTATAACCGGAATTGGAGAAGACCCGGGTTTTGGTTCTGAGACCGGTTTAGACAAGACCGCCATTGATATATATTCGTATGTTTCAGGGATTTTCTTTTTTGGGTGTCACTTATATTTGTGATAGCTAGCTTTGAAGGCTGAGACATCGAGTTATGTACTCGGAGGAGTGTATATATAGCAGAGGAGGGATAAAAAATCTTACCAATGCCGTACGACCAAACTGTTCAAAACTCAAGCTAAAATGCAATTATTTCTCTTTAATGTATCGATATCAATAAATGTGATTTTCGGGGGAAAAACTTGTGAAAGCGTCATTGGTTAGTTATTTATTGAATAGTAAAAAACTTTAAAATTGTTCGTCCATCGTTATCTCTAAAATGATAACGGTTTTTTGCTTTTTTATTACTATTATTTTATTATCATGGAGGTAATGAATTTCAAAGAAATTCGAGATAAAAAACATAAAATATTTGAGAGCGATAGGAGTTTTGAGCTTTTTATGACACTTAGTTGGCTGACATATATAATCTCTAATTTCGTACTAGTTTTTTCCAATAATTTGCATACTTTTTTATTGCCTTTTTTCATGAATTGGATATATAACATATTCAAAATTTGTTAATTAGCTTAGTTGACCTCATAGCTCAAAAATGTCCATATCCAACACCGACCCTTGTCCTCGAATCAACCGGTACGCTGAAACTAATTAAACTAATCTTTCTTTATGTCCCTCAATGTCTGTAACGAATAGCGATCTTAAAATTTCGAGATATTGTTTTGATACTTGTCCCTAATAACAGCTTCAGAGAAGATGCGTACGGTATGGCTTAGAATAGATCCGAGTGTTTCTCTCTGTTGCCACAAAATATATTGTTATACATAACGTGTTGATATATTATTTTATTTATTTATGAAATGGTTTTTTTGGAGGGCAAAATTTTATGAAATGCTTACAAGTTATACGCAACCATATTAAATCAGATTGGTGATCCATAAATCTTGTAAGACTGATAACTATTTTTTCATAAATAATAATCAAAACATAAAAAGTATTCGAAAGAAACAATGCAATGTACCATCGATTTATCTAAACATTATTAATCAGTTACATGACAGTTAATTACAATGGGTTTTTAGTAGTACATTTTTGGTAACATTCGTTACGATATTATTTTAGATTGAGAAATATATGTCATTGACATAACAGTAGACTTTTATTAATGGGATGAACAGTAAAGGGTTGCTTAATAAGTGCATGATGGAAAAAAAGGAAAAAAAAGAAATAAGTTATAGTATAATGCATGCCAAAAATGACACGTGTCAGTAAAAAGTTACAGGGTGATGTCACTATCAAAGAACCAGCAATGTCTTGTTCCATTCTAGAGTCCGTTATTGTTCCACGTCGGCTATATATCTGTGACATTTTTCTTTATTTTCTTACTATTACTTTTATATGCTTCAGAAAAATCTTTGTTCTGACATCGTACTGTATAAATAAACTCGGGGTTACATCATGATTAGGGTTCATGAGAATACTCACACATTTACGCGAAAGATTGGGTAACCTCATGTAATAAGGCGTTATTTAGATTTTTATTTTTATTTGAACTTCTTCCTAGAAAAATAACAAAACAAAGGACGTAGACAAGAATTGTATATAAAAATATAAAACATCAATTTTTTGAAAACAAATTTCTTCTTTATGAGAGATATTATTAAAAAAATGAAGCTGGTATATAAATATCTACGAATAAAATTTGTTATAAGACACGTTGGAGGCTTATAACAAATAAAAAAATGATATGTTGAAGGGTACACGAGATGCCACGTAGGAGGCAAATCGAGGAGAAACAAGTCTTGTGTTTAAGAAAAAAGATTCGAAAGAACACACAGCTTCGTATTGGTCGTTTACAATGGTAGGTTCCTCGCATGTCCACCTCTATTAAAGTTTGATGTGAACTAATAATAATGTTAAGATTCTTTACCAAAAATAATAGTATTAATAATTGTATTCGATTTGAATAATATCATCGATGAGCGATTGGATATCCATGGAGGGACAGCCTGAGAAGCAAGAACCGACATGTACGGACCATGACAAATTTAACACTATTATATACTTTGGTTTATTTACGGGTTGTAATAAAATCAGTATACAGCAGCACCCAGGAAAAATACTATTATGTCGGTTCGTTTATTTCCAGAAATAAAGATTTACTATACAGTTTGATTATAGAACAAACCAAAATTTTATACATTGCTTGTCTACGAAACTACTACGTGGTTTGATTTCCGAAAAAGATTATTGCTTTATAATGGATATCAACATGGTCTTTTCTTTTGTTTTTCTCTAAATATCGTGATAGTGGACGTCGTCGAACATTCGTAACAAGATTGTAGTATATGATCCAATCTTTATTCAGTAGGTGAGTCAATAAAATATCCTCTAAAAAACCTATAGAAAAATAAATAATTTCGGCTACAAAAAAAATATATGGACAATATCCAAGGATGGTTTCAAATTGTTTCGACTTTTTTGGGTGTCTGGTTGCTTCAATTATGTGAATGATGTCGGGCCAAAAATGACACATCCATTTTTATTTTCATATTTTAATGTTTTTACAATTTTTACTTTCTGACATTACGACGAACCTCCAACGATTTGGAAAGAAGCACGAAGGACCGAACGGACCCTGGACATAAAATATCATAAAAGAACGACGATAGGCCAATTTTGGGCTTTTAAGATGCAGATTTGTTGGGCTAATCCACATCATTTAGATGGATTATTTTATTTCTGTGTTTGTTTTAAGATTCTTAATAATATTATTGCTTTTTTTCTTTAATTCCAAGCACATATCAATAATGTTGCCATTTATAATTTTTGAAAACTAAATCTTTAAATTTTCCATTTTCAAATTTCTAGCATGTTTAAAAAAATTGTTACATGGAACTTCGTATTCCTTATATGCACTCTTATACAGTAGCATATTATATATAACGGGTCCCACAAAGTAATCCGAAATCGCCAAAAGATCATACTAGATCCAACGGTTGATGATAGAGATGATTCGTAATCTTCAAGAAGAATGGTACAAAAGTAGTAGATCCCACTGGTCTGACCTGTTCCGTATCAATTGGCTTAGGGCCACGTGGAGAATGTCTCTATGCCACGTCCCTACCTAGATTACCTCTTTGACTCTTACTCAATTACTATTATTTCTTCTCAGTTCCAAACAAACTTATTAATAGTAGTTTTTTTTTGTTTGTTTAAAGAAATGTTATTAAAAAAACTTATGAATAAATAGTTAGATAAAGAAAAACTATTAAAAAACGATCCGTACAAATGCTGAAAAGAACACGATCTGAAGAATACAAACGATGTAGGCAAGGGTTTAGTTTTTGGTTTAGTTTTTTTCCTGGGTCGATCGTGAAATTTATTTTATTGTTTTCCACTTTTTACGTATAGGTTTTGGTTTTAACACGAGAGTCATTTTCAAACCTTTATTTTGCATTATTACATGCATCCTCCGAAATTTTGAGAACTCTTGTCAGTTTTTGTCTTTTTATTATAAACAAGTAAATCTTACTATCATTCTCATGTAATAATCTTTGGATTTGATTACTTATATAAAGTTTAGAACTAATGAACCAACAAGACATATAAATTTGACACGATAGTAAATATGAAATATTCAAGTTAATTTCTAGTTGTCATCCTAATGTAAAAATGCATACAGACCCCCTGGTTATGCTTAGTTCCAAGAGTAAAGACCAACCCGGGATATATAAATATAACTGCTAGTTTTTATTTTCAGTTAATTTTTCTTAGGTTTGTTAGGAAAACATAACTCGGAGATCCCCGAATCTTTACAGGTCTGATGATCGGATGTTTTTTCGGGTGTTCATTGTTTCTTTTCCTCTGCCAAAATTGTAATCTCGGAAGAATTCATGAAACAACGCATACTATATATGATATAATAAATTAATTATAATTATTTTACGTTTATCTCTCTTTAGATAATGAGAATCTTGATTCAGTTTCGATGGATTGCTTCGTTCGTGTTTCTTTTCTTCTCATTCTCACAAAAATTATTGTTAGCCAGAAAATGATAAAATTGAAAATACTAAACATTTTTATTTTATTGTTAAGCAGTTTAATCGCAAGCTAATACAGTCTCGCTTTTAAACCACTCTCTTAATCCGATTGCTATAAATGCAAACATCCCGATTGTGAGGGCGTAACCTCATTACATGTTAAACGGAACCATAACCTCGTTAACTCTACCAATGAGCTGGAACGGTGGGCTATAACCGGCGACCAAATAATCTGGAGACTTAGCTTTGCTCTTTTCAACGGGCACGCTCCACTTAGTGCCCTTGAGGCTAGCCATCAAAGCTGCAACTTCTTTCTTGGCCGCTTCGTCCGACACGTATCCACCGAACTGCCTCACGGCTACGTAGGTTTGTTTCCATGGCTGCATGTGGAAGGCATCGGAAAGAGGTGGGTTCTGTTGGTACTTCTTGGGGAGGTAGAAGGAGACTGTGTACACTGATTTTCCCGGGATTACTTGTGTGATCACCGGAGCTGTCATCTCCATCTTTGTCTTGCTCTTGTTATCTCCTTGTATGTAACTAAATAATCTGCAACGGAATCAAATCAATTTGTACTTATAAAGTCAACAATTATAGTAGTTTTTAGTCAAATCTCCATTAACTCAACATTTATTAGATTTATACCCCTGCCACTATGTAACAAAAAATTAAATTAAAAAATGTAAGTTACCGTTGGAAACCGGTGGTGCTGGCCTGAGTCATGGATGAGGCGGGGATGGGAGCAGTGGCCATCCAGACCGCAGAGTTGTAGACGCGGATCTGATAGCCGTTTCCAGCCTCAACCAGTTTGTAGGTGGGGCACTCGTACTGGTCACACACTCCCAGGTGCATCTCCATGGTTGACTCAGCACACGATACAACCACGACTAGGCTGAGGCACAAGGACAGCTTCAAGATGGTTAAACCAGTTTCCATGATCTGCGTAGATTTTAAAGATGAATTTTCCGGTTTTGTTGTTTAGATATGTTTTATATGTCTTGTGTAATGGATTATTATTATTTATAGAGGGGGTGATTACTGGTTGACACTTGCTCTTGCTCTGGAAGCTGTACACAGCAAAAAAAAAAAAAAATCTACCGGTCAAATGTTTCATTAATCATGCTGTACAGAATTTTTTAGAAATGGAAACCACATCCAAAATTTTTAGAAACCATATCCAAAACTTTCCTTTTCTTTTTTTCTCTGTGCTGTGCACAGCAAAAATTTCCTTCTCTATTTTTTTTATGTGCTGTACACAGCAAAAGATTTAAAATTCAATTTTAAAAGATGTGGTCAAAGAGGGGTCAAAGTGGCAACAATTTTTAGAGGAAAGTTTATAATACATATTATTTTTTTTCTCCGTTAAAATTTGACTTTTAAACATATATTCAGATTTTTTAGAATTTTTTTTTGTTTTAAATAGATGTTTTAAAATTTCTATAATTTTTTATAAATGAATAATGATAAATTATAAATTTTATAAAAAAGTAACTGAGTTTATTAAATTACTATTAATTTAAATTTATAGAAAATTGTTAAACACAAAAATAATCTATTTATTATTCAATTTCAATATATTTTCCTAATATAAAAACTTCAGTAGACTTTCTTTGTTTAAGTTTAACTTCATGAAAAACGAGTTTACTGAGGATAAAATTAAATGTTATTAACAGCTTTTTCAGTTGTGTCCATCTGAAACGGCAACCAAATCTCATTGACCCGACCTAAGAACTCGAACGGCGAGTTATACTGCGCCACCGTGTAAGCCGAAGTCGATCCGACACCGCCGGTTTTTCTGCTTTTATCAATTGCCTTGCCCCAAACGGTACCTTTTAGGCTAGCCTCCAGCTCCGCCGCTTCTTCTCCGACGCGGTGATCCGACACGAAGCCGCCGAATTGCTTCACTGCAACATACCTCTGATCCCATCTCTGGATGTGGAGGTTTCTCGCCGGAGCTGGGTCGGGTTGATTTTGTTTAGGAACGTAGAATGATACAGTAAAGGAGGATTTGCAGGAGGGACAGTCGCTCGGAGAGAATTCAGTGGTCACCGGAGCTGTCATCTCTATCTTCTGGTGATAATCGTTCTTCCCTTGAATGTAATCAAACAATCTGCTCACAAACCACACTCAAAACCGGTCCATTTGAATTTTAAAAACCCCTAATTTCGGAAACTGAAATGAACATACTGGCGAAAACCGGTTCTCGTGGCTTTGACGAGCGAGGTATCATGAATCGGATCTGTTGAAACCCAGACGGCGGTTTTGTAGCGGCGAATCTCGTAGCCATTCCCGGCGTGGACCAGCTCGTAGCTCGGACACTCGATCCGGTTGCATGACGGCGGAAACTTCCCAAATCGTCCGAGAACGAGATCGGAATGAGAACGCGAGTCGATTAGGTCTGAACTGCCGCTGAGAAGGCTAAGAAGGAACGATAGCTTGAAGATGCTTAGAGCTGTTTCCATGGCGGATTTTTTCTTCGTTACCTACAACGGAACACGTACGGTTTTTTATGTGTGTGGTACTGGTTCATCTTCGGACAGGCTTAGATTGCGCATGAAACCCCTCAACTTACATTATTTTCGTAATTACCCCTTTTATTTTTATATTTTGAAGTTTCTCTACTGTATCAGTATGTCAGTTATGTGTGATTCAGGAGTGGAATTCCGGTTTGTGGGCTTTTTGTTCCATCGGGTTTATAAAAACCATAACCAAATAAACTCATTTGTAATTCGATCTAATTTATTGTCATTTTGATTTGGTTTTAAGTTTGGATTCAATTTTGCTATTTTTTGTAAAAAACAATGAATTGAAAATTAAAAATAAATATCGGCTGTTTCATATTTGGCACAATTACATTAAAATCATTACCAATTGATTTATGAACAATCTCCGATTCGGTTCGGTTTACGAACAATGTAAAAAAAAAAAACAATTCTCAATTCTGTTTTGATTTAAACAGCTCCGTTTGGTTTGATTCGGTTTTCTTTTCTTTTCCATCGTCAGTAAGATTCTTGTTAGCCATATGAAAATATTAACCAGTTAAATCGGTTTAATCGCAAGCAGATACAATATCGCTTCTAAACCACCTCTCTTAATCCGATTGCTATATAAAACAACCGGATTGTGAGGGCTTATCCTCATATCATTTTACATGTTAAACGGAACCAAAATCTCATTAACTCTAGCCGTGGTCTGGAATGGCGGGTTATAATCGGCGACCAAATACTCCGGCGACTTCCCTTTGCTCTTCTCAATGGCCACAATCCACTCAGTGCCCTTGAGGCTATCCATCAAAGCTGCAGCTTCTTTCTTGGCCGCATCGTCCGACGCGTATCCACCGAACTGCCTCACGGCAACGTAGGTTGGTTTCCATGGCTGCACGTGGAGGTCATCGGCGAGAGGTGGGTTCTGTTGGTTCTTCTTGGGGAGGTAGAAGGAGACCGTGTAGACTGATTTTCCCGGTGTTGCTTGCGTCATCACCGGAGCTGTCATATTCATCTTTGTCTTGTTCTTGTTATCTCCTTGTATGTAACTAAATAATCTGCAGTTTTAATTTGAGTAAATAAAAGTAGGATACTAGCCATCACACACATGCGTTAGGTTAATGTTAACATGAAATGTAAAAATCCGAAAGAAAACCAGATCTTATTCGGTTTGGTTCAAGTCAAAGTTCCATTAACTCAGTTTTCATTAGATTTATATACCGCACTATGTAACAAATATACTAAATTAAAAAATGTTAAGTTACCGTTGGAAACCGGTTTTGGTGGCTTGAGTCATGGATGGGGCGGAGATGGGAGCAGTGGACATCCAGACCGCAGAGTCATAGACGCGGAGATCATAGCCGTATCCGGCCTCAGCCAGTTTGAAGGTGGGACACTCATAGTGGTCACACGTTCCCGGACGCATCCCCATGGCTGGGTTCCACTTCCACCGTGCTGGAGCCTGAGCACATGATAAAGCCACGAGGCTGAGGCATAAGGACAACTTCAAGATGGCTAAACCGGTTTCCATGATTAGACTAGTTTCAAAAGATGAATTTCGTTGGTTTTTTTTGGATAGGTCTTGTGTAATGGAGTATTTATAGATGCGTTTTTGGGCAATGAGATTGGTAATAATAGAGTACACAAGTTATTAATACCTTTTGACTAGATATAACCTTCGTACACGTCTGACCTATAATTGGAGGCAGATGGCAAAGACAATTCTCAAATGCTTTTGGAGAATTAAATGTGATATTTATTAGCCAACAGTATTCATCTATCCACATTTCAATTCATACTTAATTGAATTTTTTAAAGTATGGATAATATATATATTAGTCATCCTTTGTTACTGCTTTAAGAGACTTCACAAGCACAACAGTACCGAAGTAACGAAGGATGGACATAATTAAAGCGACTTAAGAGATTTTGTTTGCCACTCTTCTTGCGAGAAAAGAAGTCTCACTTGTGAACATGATATAATCTATTTGGAGCAAATTTCTTTTCGTTTACTTTTTTTGTTGTTCTTTCTAGCTGAGAGATTCTTTGTCAACTTTTTTTCCGTTGAACTTGACCTTTCAACGTATAATGCACATAATTTTCCTTTGTTTAAACTTTAAAGTTTGACTTCATATGATGACTTTGCCACTTATATCATATGATTCGCTAGTTGAAATTTTGATGTTACTCAAAAAACTTTAGTTGAAACCATGTATTATTTGCTTTGAAATTTTAAGCATTTCAACCGCGTTACAATTGCAGCCAATTCCTCTATTGTATGTGCTTTACTATACTATAAGCATGTCTCAAATATATCTAACTTGATTAGGAAAAAGCTAATCAATTCTTTGGAGATTGAACATCACCATTTCTTCTAGAGCTGACCTGAATCCACTTGGAGGAAGGCACTGCAGATTCTTCAAAGCTTCGTCAGCTTTCTCCCTAGCCAGTTCTTGTGCCCTCCTGATACCTCCGCCTTCTATCACCGCTTCAATCGCTTCTTCCAGCGAACCCTCCTCACAGAACTCAGACTCGATGATCTCTCTCAGCCTCGGCTGCTTCTCCAGAGCGAAAATCACCGGTGCGGTTAAGTTGCCTTTAGCCAAATCACTCCCTGCTGGCTTACCTAGCTGCTCTGTCGACTGAGTGAAGTCCAAAATGTCATCGACCACTTGAAAAGAGAGGCCGAGATTCTTCCCAAACTCATACATTTGCTCTGTCACATGAGTCTCGACTCTGCTGAAGATGGCAGCTCCTTTGGTGCTCGCAGCCACTAACGAGGCTGTCTTGAAGTAACTCTTGAGTAAGTAATCGTCGAGGGTGACGTCACAGTCGAACAGACTCGACGCTTGCTTTATCTCTCCGCTTGCAAAGTCTTTGATCACCTGAGTAAACATAACAAGTTAGTAAAATGAGATTCAGAGCACAGTGCTCTGTGTGAATGAGTAATCAAGTACCTGACTTATGAGCTTGATCACTTCGAGATTCTCGAGGTTCGCCAAGTACCATGACGCTTGAGCAAACATGAAATCACCAGCTAACACAGCTACTCTCGTGCCGAATAGCTCGTGAACTGTTTCCTTCCCTGTGAGATTTCACCAAAACTATAATATTACTCAGAAGATAGATGAATCATCATCATCATAACCATCATAACCATGAATGGGAAACTCACCTCTTCGCATATCACTCTCATCTAACACATCGTCGTGTATCAAGCTTGCAGTGTGAATCATCTCGATGATCTCACCCAAACGCCGATGTTCTGTTGTAAGTTCCCTGCATCAAGATTTTCAAGATCATTTTGGTGCTAAAAGATGGATACCAAATCAGAAGAAAGGAATACAAAAAAAAGAAAAATTACTTAAGGCCAGCTAATTCTGCAGTGGCGCGTGATACAAGGAACACCAAACCGGGTCTCATTCTTTTACCACCAGCTCCGAATATTTGCTCAGCCGCAGATATCAAAACCGGATTCTCAGCACCAACAATCTAATTAAAGAAGAAAGTAAATCAATTTTTTCAAGAAGTGAAAAAGAAGAAGACAGTGCGACACAAAGAGTTTCTTATGATACTAACCGATAAAAGATTGTCATTCAACGTCTGGAGATCATCAGCTACTACCTCAAACAGGGTTGCCAAAGAAATAGGCTCTTTTGAATCTTGCCTCAAATCGAAAGTCACTGTTTTAGTTTCACCAATACCTACACAGTTTCATTTCTTTTCTCATTAAGTAACCAATAAACTCAAGATTCCGACAGTTCCAATTGAAAGAACATTCTTGGGAGAATCTGTATCTAATTACAGAACATGCACTCTGATGAGACATACACACAGTTGAAGCAATAAACCCAATTCAAGATTTGCAATAACAGTAAGTGATTGAGACCAGCGCATACTTCAGTCAAATCAATCATTTAACCAAAATAATGTATATGATCCAACAAATCTCAATCCAAACAATCAATATAGTTTACTAACACAGTTAAGACATCTGAGAATCGAATCAATACCGTTGACCAAAGAGACATTATCCTTGGGTTTTGTCGGCACGGCTTTGCAACTCCCCATGTCTCGCCGGAGAAACACCAGATTCCCGCCGCCATAGCTTCTCGTGCTACTTACTTTACAAACGCTCTTGGGGAAATTTCCCAACGGAAACTGACGACGACCACACCCGCATGCGATCAGATCAAGCACGCTCGTACCCAAGTCTATATTCCGGCATGACGTCATCATATCCTCACAGAACCCAGTAAAGCTTGAGGAAATTTTCGGATTATCAAGCTCTCTGGAACTGGGAAGTCGTCTGTAAAGAAAGATGCAAAGGTTTTAGATGGAAAAGCAACGAAAAGCTTACTTCTTTTCTCCGCCGGGTGATTGGGTGTATGGAAAAATTACAACAAAAAAGGTACAAAAATACAAAATGAATAAAAAAACATTCAAGTGGGCGTTTTAATAAGCGGATCGAGGTTCTTTTATTAATTTAATTTTTGCTTTGGGTGGACGAGACAAGCCCACATGAGGAGCAAGTGTGGAGGATTTTGGGAGGACGAAAGAGACGAAGTGTATTCGTTTTTGTTTCAATACGAGAAGAAGAGGAGAAGGGAAGAGGGAAACGATTATCTAACGTGACGCTCAGATCTCGCCACGTGTTTTCTATCCAATTATTTAACATTCAGCTCCTTGTATAATTATTGTTTTCAGATTCAGGCCCTCGAGAATTAAATTTTAATATTAAGTCCTATTTTCTTCTCTAAATTTTAAAGTCCTACGAAAGATTGAACTTTTAAAATGAACCCTTTCTTTGGCTGTATAGTGAAGTGTAGTAATGAATACTGAAACGAAAACATTAATGATATCAAATATGATTGTTTAAAGAAGAAAAGTTCAGGAACCAAACATTTTAACACTTGAAAAATCAAAATTTTTTTTAAACTTGGATATTTTAATTAGAAACTCATTAACATGCTCCTCTGTTTTCTTCGTAACAAAGATGTACGAAGTCATCTGGCTTTTTGCTTATGTGTATTCATAGTAGCAGTTTCCATAGCCTACAAAATAAGGAATAAAAAACGAAACTTTAATTATTGACCCCAAAAAAAAAACGAAACTTTAATCTGAAATTTTTATATGTAGTAATTGTTTTAGAAAGAAGAAGAAGAGAGATATCAAACTCACTGGGATTAGTTATGACGATGAGTCCAGAGTTCTTGAAATTGCAGTTCCAATAGTTTCTTCCATTAGCTTGGTAATAAAGATTCATGGCGATAGAAGCATGGTTTATGAGATTACCGGGGGAGTAACAGGGACATCCACTCGAAAGAATTCGACAATCGACATGCGAACATGCGTAGTTTATGTTATCTAAAAGTGTTGCTTGATCCGAAGAAGGTTTAGCCACACACCAAGTCTTCATCTATAACAACAACTTAGAACAAAACTCATTCAGTGAGCAGAACAAACATTGTTTCATTAATCATAACTTCTCTTAAGCATATACCTCTGCGTTGGCTTTGATGAAGTTCCTTTCTGTTTGAAAAGATATGAAACTAATAAGGAACTAGGACTATTATACTGAACTTGGAAAATAATCTTACAATTGATTAAGTTAGCAACTTTGAAGTGAATTTAGGATGGTTTATTTAACTAGTTGTGATTTGATTACCTGAAGAGAGGTGGAAGAAGATAAGGAAGCACATACACATCCATGCTTTAGCCATTGTTTGAATTTGTCTGAGTGAGAGAACTGCTCTACAATCTTTTGTCTATATATATATAAATGATGTAAGTGTGTAACAACAGTGAATAGTTTTTCTTTTATTATAAAATAGTTAGAAAACAAACAAAGAGTATAAATACTAATTAATGTTTTCAGGCTTTTAAGGTGAATGAATAATCCAGCAAATTTAATTGCTTATAGGTAAAGTAAAAGTTTTAGCGAACATGTCGATTTGTGTTTAAAGTTTAAACTTTTAGAATCTCGACTGACTATTTTACATTTTAAGCAAAACGAAATAACTAAGTTCATTTAAATAAAATATATTAGCCTCTACTTCATATAGAAGGGTTAATGTATGAGAAGAGCACTTGGGACACCACCGTCAAATAACGGGACATCAAAACGTGAGCTGAGCTGTAGATTAAAGAATTTTTTTGATCCGATGCTCACTTTGTACGAGAATCTTAAAATATATGGCTTTTTTGTTATAATGCTTTATTCCTTTTAAATAAATAAATCATAGTGTATCTTCTACTCTATATATTAAAAAAAAATTACATTTTAAAGAAGCGAATCTCGAAGTCTTTTTCTTCAGCGAAACTTTATTTTGGAACTGAGTTTGATTGATTAGTTCAAGAAGTTATTTTTCTTAAAAAAACATATACTAAACACAACAATCAGAGAGAAATCAAAAGGAAGAAGAACGTTTCGAGAGGCTGATGTATTCGAGCAATTTGACGACCTCGGTCATGGACGGTCTAACTACCGGTTCCGGTTCAAGACACATCAACGCTATACGAAACACATCGTTCATCTCTTGAACCGGTGATCCTATTAACCGGTTATCTATCACCACCTCTTCTCTCTGGTCTCTTACCACTCCTTTTACCTGTATACAATATACGGCGTCGTTAATGGGCCCGAGGAAAGAACTTTTAAGTTTAACAATGAAAAAAGAGAAAGACAACTTGTTACCCAAGTAACAAGCTTTGTTCCTTCTTCAAAAAACTCATCATCTGTTGGTCTTCTTCCGGTTAAAAGCTCCAAAAGAAGAACCCCGAAACTGTAAACATCTCCTTTCATTGTGGCTTTACCAGTATCGAAATACTCTGTTTTTAAAACCAATCAAGAAACACACATGAACATACTCAAATCAAACTAAATTTTTCAGTTTTGTGAATTTGAATTTCAATACATATAGTTGTTGTACAAACCTGGAGCTAGGTATCCGAATGTCCCAGCAACAAACGTGGAAACATGAGTCTTGTCTGGCTCCATCAAAGTGGCTAAACCGAAATCAGAAACCCTAGCTTCCATGTTGTGATCAAGAAGTATGTTGCTCGACTTGATATCTCTATGGATAATGTGAGGGATGCAATCATGGTGAAGGTAAGAAATCCCTCTAGCCGCTCCAACCGCTATTTTGTATCTCGACGCCCAATCCAAAACTTTTCTGTCTCCAGATTTTCTTCCTACAAATAAAAACAAAAGCTTGTGCTTAAAGAAACCACTCAAATACACGCTTTTGTGTTTTTTGCTCTGTGTTTTTTTTTTAAAAAATTTCCCGGCGTACCGTGCAGATAAGAGTCCAAGCTTCCATTGGGCATGAGCTCATAGATGAGGAGGTTATAGTGTGGAGAAGTGAAGTAGCCATGGAGAGTTACGATGTTTCTGTGTTTTATATCAGCCATTGCTTCTAGCTCTCTATGAAACCCTCTGTCTCTTTCCGAGGTTCCTCTGTTTAGTCTCTTCACAGCAAAAGCTGTGGAGTCATCAATGGCTAATCTGTAAACAGTCCCGAATCCTCCAGAACCAAGAATGTCTTTGTTACTTAGCTTATGTGTCTTCTTCATAAACAAGTCGGAGGAAACAGAGCTAAGCAATGGAGATCTGAACATTACCATTTTTCCTCCTCCTTTAACTGAAGAATTATCAAAACTTAAACAGACAGAGACAGAGAGATGATACATTCACAAAAAAAAAAAAAAAAAATCATCACCTGGAAATCCATTTTCATGATCTGTGTGTTTACTCTTCCATCTCTTGTAGAGAAGAAGAGCGATTACGATTTTACCAAAGACAAAAGCAACCACAGAGATTGTTATATAAAATATTGTTTCCTTTGCATTAGCCATTGTTTCTCTTCACAAAACCTTGCAAGTTTTTTTTCTTATTATTACTTATCTCATTATCTGAAAATTGAATAAACAAGAAGAGAAGACAAAAGAAGTTGGTTACGGAGACGAACAGATAAAAAGAAAACAAGAAGAGAAAGTAGGTTTACAACTTTTGATCCTCACCAACAATTTGACACGCCACATGCGAAAATAATTCACATGTTACTATTACGTATGAAATGAAAACCGAGTTTTTCTACATGAGAGAAATCATCCGCTTTTGTTGAATTCATTAAATGAGATGTGACACTTTCTGACAAAAAATGATCATATAACTCGTGAAAGTGGGTACCTTACCAGCTATTATTATTACCTGGCTTTTGTCGTTGAATGCATCTAAAAGAGTGAGATTCAGTAATAATTCAAAAATACTAACAAAAATTGTAAATTTAAACAACAATTCGAGCCTGACTTAGCACTCTGAGCTTCTACAAATTTACAAACTGTAAGAGAGATTCAGCATCTGTATAGTTTTGGAAAATGTAGAAAACGTCCACATATCAATGAATCAATGGCTTCTTATGATCCTGCACAAACAAAAATCAAAAGCAAAAGAACGTTTGTTTGATCTCTCGAAACCAATTTATCTTTTGATCTAACACAATGAAGAAAATCTGTCTCACCTTCCTAACCGAGAGAGCTCAGGTTCTGCCAACAACATATCTTGCAGCGGTTTTGCATCCATGTACCTTTCACTACTTCTGCGGAAAACAGATGAAAATGAATCAGAGATCCAACGAACAAGAAGATTATATTTTAGAAAGGAACTAAAAAGAGAGAGAGAGAGAGAGAGAGAGAGAGAGAGAGAGAGAGAGAGAGAGGGAATCTACTCGCAGATGTTATCGATCTTGAGTTGCTTATGATGAAGAGCGAAATCATGACCGACATAAGTCACAACCAAACTACCAGCATCAGGGTGAGGCCAGCTTCTCGAAATAGGGAACCGGAGTATGAAAGTTCCAGGTTCTTGGCCTTGAAGCGAATGCTCAGCATCTTCCTTAGTGATGAATCCTTCAACCCATTTAGGCGACGAAGAACGCCACATTCCGTTTATCAAGCCCCTGGATATGGAGGAAGCTACAGGGAACAGCCAACACCACATTTTCTCGAAATTCTCCTGAGTCATGTACTCGTAGCATCCTGATATTCTCCTTAGAAGATTAAAATCCTGGTTGGTGAGAGACCTGCTGCTGCATTTGGATATCCTCATGAAATGTTCTTCAATCTCACACACCACATTATCCCAATGAACACGTTGATTGTTCCGCGATATCAGTATCCACACGTTTGTTCCTTCATCTATTAGCTTTTTTGCCATGTTGATTTGATAGCTGAAAAATTCGAAGAAAATATAAAACTTCAGTTCAGAAATGATCATCAAAGGATTGTTTCTTCTCATCAATGTATGGTTTGTTAAGTTAAAATTACCAATGGTGTGAACATCCAGAATACAGAGAAACCTGATCAGCGAATCCCAAAACTTCGTCGTCTGATAAGTTGTTTGTGATTTCCTTCAGAAGAAGAGACCTCTCTGTTAAGTTTCCCAAGCAGTATCTGAAGATGGTTGAATCTGAGATTGTATATCTCATCACAGCCGAGTCTCTCATTTCAGAGTTTTCTGAATCAGTAGAGGAGTTCTCTTCTTCGTGGCGAGAGCTCACGCCATTTCCACTCTCGAACTATACTCACAGAAAGGCAAAGTTGATATAAGATATGCAACTAGTAACATTATGTAAAGAGAGTATCACTATATATCATACCTGTTTTGAGGTTTGGGGATGAGAATTGCATTGTTGATATGATTCCTCACTCCCAGTAACACTCTCTTTAATAAACCTGGCTCGTTTGGCTAAAGAAGTGTTGTGAAGAAGGTCCGGTGATTCGGTACTCAATGGATAATGGTCATCGTGAGTCAACCTTTTAGGAATGCAACGTATTGGGCTGGTAAGAGCTTGAAGGAAAGGATAATCTTTACCATTCGGTATCTCAAATTTGATGCAGAACAATCTGTTGTCATTCTTGGAGGAAAGCTGGCAAAGAAAATGTACAACAACAACTGTTTTGTAACACAAGTCATGGAGAATCACCACAAAGATCAAACACATAGTAAAGTGTCGTTTATACCTGAGAGATCTTGAGCTTAAAGGATGAACGTCCGTTCATTAACTTGATCGGTCTATCGTCTGCTGAGAATTCAGCTCCTTCATAGCTTATCAAAAGAGGAGTCTCAGCTTCAGTCATCTTGGCCTCCACACGAGTCCCACTATCGACATAGAGTAGTGAAGCTACAACCTTGCATTTTAAAACCCAATCGTAAATTTTCCGAGCTTAAAAATTAGTACCAAAAGCAGATACGAAACCGCAAGAGAAATGAACCTCAACATCCTCCTTCACAGGCTGGCCAATGACATTGGATAAAACAACATCCAAGGCAAAAAACTCCCAGCAAGATACCTATAGAGCAAGAACATAACCGTTGAGTAAGTGAGGTGAAAATGTAATCGATCAAAGGAAATTTACAAAGGTTTGACCTTCCAGACACCATCATCGTCTAAATTAATCCCCGATGAGGATGATCTATCGACAGATAGCAATGGAGGTGGTTCCTGGAAGAAGAAGAAAAAACAGACAAAACCAAAAATTTAGAATGATGGAAATAAAACAAAAGACAGAACAACAAGAGTGTTCTAAAAGGAAGAGATGGGCAGAGACCTTCATATAGTGATGCTCCACATGACAAGTAGCAGGCAAGACTTGTGCACACTGGATGAAACCTTGAACGCTATAACCATCTCCTCCAACACTAAACAGCGATATCTTTCGAGGACACTCAGGATTGGTGTTCTTGATAAACAAAGAAGTCAAGAACTTGTCTCCTACAACCTCTCCATCAATAAGAAGCCTCATGAAATTTCTAGAAACCTAATTAAACAAGCATAACCAGCCCATCTCAACAATGGAAACACAGGATCTTGCATTTCCCAAGAAAATCGAGTCGATTCCGGAGGAGTCTTACCTCGCAGCCGACATGGACCCATTTCTCGAGAGGAAACTCGGATTTTGTACAAACATTAGGAACTTGTGTCCAAGACGAAATGTCTACAGGATCAGGAGCTTCCTTGTGAAGGAGAGTCAATGGCAAAAGCATCATCTTCTTATTCTCATTTAGGACAAGGAAAGGTGCACTAACACTCATGTCTGAGTGAACCTGTTAAAGACAAACCACCTGGATCATGGAACTATATGATACAAGAGACTCAAAAATACACTTGAGAGAGGCCCCAAGTACAGTTGATTCTAAGGCGGGCATCTAAATCACAATATGAACAATAAAACAGAGAACTAGGCTTTCAGAATTATACTCCAATATCTAAAAACCAAATCAAATTTCACTTCTTTGTTGCGATACCAACAATCGAAGAAGAAATGTGAAAACATTGTAAATTCAGCAGACAAGACTGTGAAATCAAACAGAACTAGAAGACGAATAAACCGATTCCGAGGAATCAAGGAGAAACATTTCAGCGAAACGAGATCAACCCAGAAACAAAGGGAGAAGCTTTGATTGAGTTGTGGAGAAAAACACCTGTCTAATGATCGTAGAGGGGAATGTGGTGGAATTTAAGAGATAAACCCAGAAACAAAGGGAGAAACTCTCGTAATCTTCGTCTTCTACTTCAACATCGACTTTAAAATCCTCCAAGAGAGAGTATCTATCCGTCTCAACTGCAGAAACAGGCGCCATTACTCTCCCCCGAAAAAAGAAGCTCGACTTGTAAACGAAACCCTTAAAAACCCAGAAAACACCGAGAAACAGAAAAAACCCCTTGTCGCCGATCGATTAGCTCAAAGAGACGTGAAAATTCTCGGGGAAAAATGGATCCTTCGACTTCTCTTGTAAGCCTCGCGTCTCTGCGTCGTGTGAGCTATTTCGACGGCTGTTAATATAACGGTTGGTATCGTCTTCCGGTGGTTTACTGGTTGTGTTGTGTGGGAGAAGAGTAGAAAAGCTATAATCTGCTGCTTCGCGACCACCGAAATGCACTATGGTCTGCGCATTTTACCGAAATGCACTATGGTCTGCCCATTAAAATGAGCAGACCATAATTTAAATATAAAAATCCAATTTAAATTCTGCATTTATGCTTAATAGCCATAGTCATAATTTGAAAAGAAGAAGAAGATTCTCTTATTCACATAATACAGAGACTTAACAAAGATATATTTATTAATGGAAGCATGTGTTATGAGGGTCTTTTCCTTAGATAGTCATAAGATCATCAAGGTGAGATTTCCCATTGAGTTTCTGAGCAAAGAAAGCATCAAAGTAGTCCTGTGTGCTCAAGCTTTTGAATAAACATTGCTTCTGCCTTTCCACAAGGCTTCTTGCCGGACCAATCACCGTCTCCTTTCCCGGACTATGAAACATCGCTACTGATAACCTCTCTTTCTCTGCATTCACCACCGCTCTATGCTCGATGCTTCGATATCTCCCGTTCGTTATGATCTTTACAATAACATTCACAATCATAAGAAAGCAGAGAAAAAAAAAGATCATACTTTTTTTAGCAATGGGAGAGTTAATGTTTTTAGCTATCTTACCTCTAAGATTTCCCCAACATTAACAACTAGAGCATTTTGAATAGGTTTTACGACAACCCACTTGTCGTCTTTCTTGATCTGAAGTCCTTCCACTTGATTCACCTGCAGTAGTATTGTGAGACCTGCAGCGTCTGAATGTGGTGTCAAACCCATAACTTGATCTGGCTGTGGACACGGCGGGTAGTAATTAATCTTTATAGATTGCCAAACATCTTTGAACAAATCTTCCATCTCTTCGCGTTTGATCTCTAAAACAGTCGCCATTTTCGCCAAGAGGATCTTAGCTATGCTCTTCACTTCAGATGAGTAAGTCTCTACGGTTTCTCTGAGAAGAAGAGAAACGGATTTTAAGTTTACAGTAGTGAGAGGCTAATAAGTAGTTACGCAGTAGTTTCTTCTACCTGAAAGAAGGAGGTAATTTGGAGAACAAGTGAGACTTGCGCGATTGAATTGGTGCAGTGGTGAGGATGAACATATCTCCCCAGTCCAGTTTCTGATCCTCGGACACAATGTTCACTTGTCCGAATCCTTCGAATTCGCCACTTCTCTGCCACAGCTTCTTCTTATCTTCCATGGGGAGGTTGAAGAAATCTTGAACCTCAGTCTCTAGTTTGTTCAAGAAAGACGAGTCGATTCCATGGTTTACAAGCTGTAGACAGATTGAAACAGAGCAGGAGAGCTTTTAATTATATATCACAAGTCCACTAGAAATACAAAGACTCAAAGGTGTAAAAAGGGACGTAACTTGAAAAAATCCCCAATTTTGGCAAGCGAAATCGAGCTTCTCGAGCTCGGAATCCATGGCGGAAACAGAACACAAGCGTTTCATGTCGATGACTGGAATCTCGGAACTCAGACTAGAATCATCGAGGATACCAGTTGTGTCTTGATCAGACCGAAGATACCTCGGAGGAACAGTTGTAAAGTTCTTCTCTTTCACGATCTCTAGAACAGAAGGCACTAGGAGAGAGCTCCACTGTCTTTCTCCCTCGGACTCCATGGCCTTCTATCACCAAAACAAAGAACCCAAAGAACAAATATCGGAAGCTTTGATCCACCCAAAAGCCAAATTTTCCGGCGAGAACCGAACAAAGAAACTGAAATTGAAATCAAATCAAAGAGAAAGAAAAGAAGAAAATCGATTAGGAGAGACGACTTTTAAACGTCTTCTATCCTCTGCTACCAAGACTAGCTGTTCCCGGTTGTCAAATCCGAAACTACCCTCCATAAATATTCGAAATTACATACTGTATAGTGTATACCCTTTTGAACCTCATCACCACAACAAAATGATACAGAACAGAGTTTTTGGAAGAAACCCATACTTAAGAAAACAAAACATTCAAAGAATTTCACAGTACCGTAACAAACCACGAAATAACCAGAAACTAGTACTAATAATGCTTCCAAAAGACATATTTCTTTTGTACATTTGGTCGACAGAGAGAGATTCCATGAAATTCAAACATTCCTTTCTTTTCAGTCTTGAAGCTGTTTTGGGGCACCCCGTCTCCAAATTCCAGCCAAGACACTACCGATGATGGAGTGACAGACGCTAGAAACAGCACACGGTACTGCAGTGAGCGGATTCCCAAAATGCTGTGTCGCAAGAACAACTCCAAGCACCGAGTTCTTCAACAAAATAAAAACGACAAAAAAAAAAGCTTCAATAGACATTCAGCTTCACATCTATGTTTACTGTTTCATTTGAGGAACTGTTATTAGTTACCTGCATGCCAACTTCGATAGAGATAGTTCTAGATGACGCCACATCGATTCCGAGTAGTCTCGAAAACAGATACCCAAAGAAAAATCCAGAGATGTGAAGAAGGCATGAAGCTATGACTACTTGTTGACCAGACATGAGTATCGCAGACGCGTTCTGAGAGATGGCATATCCACACAGAATCGCAACGGTTCCAACCGCAATGGGAGGCATCACAGGAGAAACAATCTTCACCAGTTTTTGAAAGTATTGGTTCAGAAAGGCACCAGCCAACACTGGGAGAAGGACCACCTGTGTGAGTGTGACCAACAAGCAAGAGCCAAGAAGAGTTAATGCAACGAAACAAAAAAAAGACTCGCTCTTTCTAATTCGAACAAGAAATTAATTGAAACCAACGAAACCTGTAGCGTTGACATTAGTAACCCAAGAGCATCAACTGTGATATATTGCTTGGCAAGCTTGGCCGTAAGAAGCGGCGTCATGATCTAGAGAACGCAATGGAAGCAAAGATTACTAAATGTGGTGCCTTTTTACTCTACATGAAGAACGATGAGACACTAACCACAGCTGTAACAGTGCTCGCTGCTGTCATCAACACTGATAGCGCGACATTTCCACTGTAACAACATGACAAGTTAAACTCAGATCCTCCACTTGTATAATACAAAACTGATAGAACTCAAAAAAAAAAAAAACTTTTCTTTTTGTTTGGATTACAAACCGCGCAATGTACGTGACAATGTTACTTGCGGTACCTTCAAATAACAAATGGAAAAAAAGCATCAGAGCACAAACATGAATAGACCAGAATGTTATAAATTTCAGTCAAGTAAATGAAATGTTTATTTACCGCCTGGACAGCAACCAACCAATATGAGACCAGCTGCGTAATGTGATGGCAAATTTAAGAGTTTACTGATTAGAAATCCTGATAATGGCATAATCTGCAACACGATTCATCAGCAAGTTATATATACTTCTCCGCAAAGATCATGAGCTCAAGTAAGAAGTCAAACTACTCCACAAGTTGATGTTACCAAACCCAAACAAAAGTATTAACAGATTTCTACATTGGTTCCATCAAGATCTCATCTTTCTCTTATAAAGTAGTCTCAGTCTCAGGTATCTGAAATTTCATCAAGTGTCACAAGAGCAATGAGAGACAAACTAACCGAGTACTGCAACACAAAGCCAGTGAAGAGCTCTTTGGGCAGCTTTAACGCGCCACGAAGATCGTCGAGGGTCAGCGTCATTCCCATTCCAAGCATCGTGATCGTGAGACCTACGATGCTCAAATCGGGAGTGACCCAATTGAAGGCGCTTGGTCTCATCAGCCCCAACAAGCATCCCAGAGAAACCCATATGGGAAACGCCGTCGAGAGCGCCTCTCCTGCAAACTCAACCCACTCACCGAAGCTCTTTTTCGTCTCAGTAGGAAAGTCGTTCGACGAAATGCCGCAACGAGGAAGAAAGTCAAACCGGTTCTTACACGAGATAGGAACAGTAGCTACGTCGAAACTTGAACGCGATTTGAGAGAAATCTCGCGAGTGGAGGAAGAGTAAGAAGCCCTGGAACGAGAGATAAGCCGGAGATGTTGTGAATTGCGGAAATATTTCGATTTGAAAGGCGTTGTTACGGTAGAGAGAGTGAGAGAATTCGCGGAGGCCATGTTTTCTTCTCCGCGACTCTCCGATCAGAAAAGAAGAAAACCCAAACATGTTTTGGTTTACACACACGCGCTTTATTTACTAAAATGGTCCCTGCATAAAGCTCATTTCTCTACTATACCCACTCATAAACTAGTTTCGCCTAAATCGGTCCATTTCGGATGTAATAGTATTATTAACTCTTGAAAGAAGGAGCTTTTAATGTTACCGCTCAAATAAATTAAGAAATCAAATCAATAGAAATATATTTTTAGTGATTCAGTCACAAGTGATCATAATTGAGTGTGTCGGTGATCTCACCGAGCATATGGGCAACTACATTAAATGATTGCATATCAAAATTTAGGAAACTATCAATACGAATTCGATTTTCTACGTATAATTACGAAATAGTCCTTATATGGTATATCCACAGTTTGAGAGGCTACATACATGGTACCTACCATTATGGCAAACGCAAACGCGCTGTGACCCCCCGTCCTTTAGTTTCCTTATTTGGTAATATGAGAGCAGCTCTAATGCAAAGAGCTTTTCATGGATTATAAACATTATTTTAGTTATAAATTTTGAATTTTTTAAGTTAAGAATTTTAAAAGTAATTAAAATTGTATGATTCCAATGATTGAACCCCATTTGAGGTTCTAAAAAAAATTAAAATATTTTAAATAGAATTTATATTTTATAAAACTTAAATATTATTGCATTTTATAAAATTTTAAATAAACATGATATAAAAACATATTACAAATAGATATAGAAATCATAAACAAAAAAAAAACAAGTTGTAAAACAATTTATATTTTATAAAACATGACATAAAAATAATTTATATTTTATAAAACTTTTATTTTATTATTTATCTAATAAAATTGATCAATAATAATGAAACACATATGAGGTTTCTACCAATCCTAAAAACACTATATTGAAAGTCGATTCTCATCTTTTTATTTAGTTTTCATTTATTTTTTTTATTTTTTTTATTAGAGTTTCATGTTAAGAGGCTCCATTGGAGCTGGTCTGATAATATCCACCATAATTTCATATCCAAATCTAGTCTTATTTGACTTTTTTATGTATATAATCAGATATAAGATTTCCTAAATCAAAATGGTGACTAATTTTAAGTCTAGAATAGACTGGTAATGAAAACGTAATGGTGTAATTTAGTTACTAACATGCGAAGTCAATGTTTGACAAAACGCGCGATCTGTCAAACACGCGACTCAAGTCATGTACCTACCCAGCTTCTGTAAATCGGAGAGAAACGGAGGGCATTTTGGTAAGTTTAAGCTGTATATAAAGGATTTCTGGTACTAGTCTTCCTTCCCTCTCCAGGAGTCTTGTGTGTGCGCTCGCTCTATTTTTGCTCTGTCGACAAAAAAGACTCTTCTTTTGAATTTTCTTCTTCTCCGTTACTTTCGCTTCTCCTCAGCTTCTCACCGTCGAGATTCTTCACATTTTTTTCTCCCATCTTTCTTATTGTCTTCTCCAATTCTCTTGCGATCTACGGATTTCGCTGATCGTGAAAGATCTGAAAATTCGGAGGTATGTTCGACAATCTCTTCTCTCCTTGCACTACATCATCATGATCGTAATGCTTCACTGAGTTTCATTTTTCTGAATTGCTTTACTTTGCTTGGATCCGATGGGTAGTACATGAATATTACGCTCCGTCGATTTTCGGTGTTTTTTAGTCTGCTCTGGCTAATCTGGATCTAAGGTTTTTGCAATGTTTTGATGATTTACGTTTCATTTGATTAGATCTGTTCTGATTTGATCTCTAATGGAGATCGCATTCATTTCGGTTTCTGCCATTTTTGTTTGTAAATTAGCAATCATTTTGATTGCTACATGCAAAATCTCTTCGTTAATGTGATGATTCGATCCCAAAACGCAGGAAAATTCGTCTCTCTCAATGGCTTCGTACACTCCCAAGAACATTCTCATCACCGGCGCTGCTGGTTTCATTGCATCCCATGTCGCCAACAGGCTCATACGGAGCTACCCTGATTACAAAATTGTTGTGCTTGACAAGCTCGATTACTGCTCCAACCTCAAGAACCTGAATCCGTCGAAACAGTCTCCCAATTTCAAGTTTGTGAAAGGTGACATTGCAAGTGCTGATCTTGTGAACCATCTCCTCATCACGGAAGGCATCGACACCATCATGCACTTCGCTGCTCAGACGCACGTCGACAATTCGTTCGGCAACAGTTTCGAGTTCACCAAGAACAACATCTATGGAACCCATGTGCTTCTCGAGGCCTGTAAAGTCACTGGTCAGATCAGGAGGTTCATCCATGTGAGCACCGATGAAGTCTATGGTGAAACCGATGAGGATGCTCTTGTTGGTAACCATGAGGCTTCTCAGCTTCTCCCTACGAATCCTTACTCTGCAACAAAAGCTGGTGCTGAGATGCTTGTTATGGCCTATGGTAGATCATACGGTTTGCCTGTTATCACCACGCGTGGGAATAACGTCTATGGACCGAATCAGTTTCCTGAGAAGCTGATTCCTAAGTTCATCTTGCTGGCGATGAGGGGCCAAGTTCTTCCAATTCATGGAGATGGCTCGAACGTGAGGAGCTACCTTTACTGTGAAGATGTTGCTGAGGCGTTTGAAGTTATTCTTCACAAGGGTGAAGTTGGCCATGTTTACAATATTGGGACCAAGAAGGAGAGGAGAGTGAATGATGTTGCTAGAGATATCTGCGAACTCTTCAACATGGACCCTGAGGCGAACATCAAGTTTGTCGACAACAGGCCTTTCAACGATCAAAGGTACTTCCTTGACGACGAGAAGCTCAAGAAGTTGGGATGGTCAGAGAGGACCACGTGGGAAGAAGGTTTGAAGAAAACTATGGACTGGTACACACAGAACCCGGAGTGGTGGGGTGATGTCTCTGGAGCATTGCTTCCTCATCCAAGGATGCTGATGATGCCTGGTGGGCGACACTTTGATGGATCCGAGGACAATTCTTTGGCAGCTACTTTATCCGAGAAACCGAGTCAGAGCCACATGGTGGTTCCAAGCCCAAGGAGCAGCAGCACACCACAGAAGCCTTCTCTGAAGTTCTTGATTTACGGGAAGACAGGATGGATCGGTGGTCTGCTTGGAAAGCTATGTGAGAAGCAAGGGATTGCTTACGAGTACGGGAAAGGAAGGTTGGAGGATCGATCGTCTCTCTTGCAGGATATTCAGAGTGTTAAGCCAACCCATGTTTTCAATTCCGCTGGTGTGACCGGGAGACCCAATGTTGACTGGTGTGAGTCACACAAGACCGAGACTATCCGTGCCAACGTTGCTGGAACCTTGACTCTAGCTGATGTCTGCAGAGAGCATGGCCTCCTGATGATGAATTTCGCTACTGGCTGTATATTCGAATATGACGAGAAGCATCCGGAAGGTTCGGGAATTGGCTTCAAAGAGGAGGACACTCCCAACTTCACCGGCTCTTTCTACTCAAAAACCAAAGCCATGGTAACTAATGCTTACTCTGTCAAGATCCAACGTTTTTGTCCTTCTTTACATAAAGCTAAGCCTTAGTTATGAATTGTGGTCTTATAGGTCGAGGAGCTGCTAAAGGAGTTTGACAACGTATGCACATTGAGGGTAAGGATGCCGATTTCTTCAGATCTAAGCAACCCGCGCAACTTCATCACCAAGATCTCAAGGTACAACAAAGTAGTGAACATCCCAAACAGCATGACGGTGTTGGACGAGCTTTTACCAATCTCCATCGAGATGGCGAAGAGAAACTTGAAAGGAATCTGGAACTTCACGAACCCAGGTGTGGTGAGTCACAACGAGATCCTAGAGATGTACAGAGACTACATCAACCCTGAGTTCAAATGGGCAAACTTTACACTAGAGGAGCAAGCTAAAGTCATTGTGGCTCCAAGAAGCAACAACGAGATGGATGCTTCTAAGCTCAAGAAAGAGTTCCCTGAGCTACTCTCCATCAAGGAGTCTTTGATTAAGTATGCATTCGAGCCAAACAAGAAAACCTGAAGAGTGAGCGAGAGAGAGAGAGAGAGAGAAAGGTTGTGATTGATTCGTCATTAGATTAATCACTAATATTTATCAGTTTCGATTATTGTTCTTGTTGTTATGTGATTACCCCCTTCTTTCATTAGATTGGCTTAGGGGTGTCTTGTAGTTTGATTGTTCTGTGTAATAAGAGCTTTGATTTATTCATATTGTGTTTGTCCTCAAAATTTTGTTAATGTAATATATTCATGACTTTGCTCTACTCTTATTATATTAGAATATAAAACCAGTAAAAGAGTCTGGTAATGGAACAATTATTTTATTTGGGTTACACGACCTCACTTCATCTAAGATGAGGAGGATGAGTTAGGCAGCGACGTGTCGGCGAGCTTCTCAAGAAAGCCAACGACATCGTCAGGTGAGCCAAGGAGATATCTAGCATTGGTGCGAGTACGACCCACTGCACAAGAGAAGTAATTCTCTCCCTTGAGGTCAAGCACGTTCCATGAGATCTTCTCTGGTGAAGGACGTCTTGAGTTCCCTAAGCTATGGTTGGATCCGCTTTTTCTCTCTGTTGTCTGCACAGATCTCTGCTTGTTGTTATTGTTGTTGTTAGAGTTAGAAGAGGATGTAGATTTTGAACCGCTTTTGTGGTGGTTGTGTGTCGACTTTGAAGGCGGTCTTCGGTCTCCTGATGATGACTTGTTACCACCATCAGATGATGGTCTGGACCGTGCAATGGCTGGGATGTCCGATGGGAGTTCCGGTTCGAAGAAAGTGTAAACATCTTCGTCCTGTAAATAACAATATGTCAAGAAACACTCGACACTTGAGAATCGGATGTAGTATTATATATTATAAGAAAAGCTTTGAGTCACCTTCCCCAAGAAATGACCAATACACAAGACGTAATCGATGGGTGTGGTCATCGACTTGCTATGCACAATCTCTCCTAGAATGCGATCAATAGCAGCTCCCTTAGTGACACCAACCGCACGGACTTCCACAGAGCGGCTTCCTTGGACAACATCAACTGATGCATTAGAGATTGGTCCTGTCCATAAGTGTTGTAACAAGTCTCTTGCTTGAAGTCTCCCGAATTCGATATCTACATGGAGAAATCAGATAATATGAATCCTTGTAGTTCCATACAAAGAAGGCAAAAACAAGCAGGTGAAGTACCTGCATATTTGTAGTTCCATATAAGCGAAGTATCGCGTGTTTCAAAGTGTGACCTTGGAGTTCTCTCAGTGAAGTACTTGAAAACATGCTACAAAATACAAAGAAAAACAAGAATTTAAGAAGGGGAAGTGAAGAAACTAAGTTGAGTTTGAGATGCGGATACTGTTACCTTTACGCTATCAACCCATTCCATGTTCAAGTGTTCTGGCATTGTAGTCATCCATTCTCCATTCGTAAGCCTTAGGAACATCCCATTCTCTGCGGCCAACCACATATCATACTCTCCGAAGTTCTGAATTTTTAAGTTAAAACCAAGTCAGTCAGTGAAAGTGTTATATAGCTAGAAAAAGAAACCACAGAAGGAAAATGTGTATATATACTTTGTCCAAAACGCTTCTGCTGCTTCCGCTTAGGACAACTATGGTTGTACTTGGATCGCTGCATAATGCCTTTAACGGTCCTTTTAGCTCCGGGTGAAGATTAAGATCCATCTCCTTTATTTGATCACCTCTTCTCCCTTGATTATCCACTGGTTCAGTCAATGTTGCATTGAAACCCTGAACGTTTTTAAAGTTACAAGAGATGGTAAAAGGCAGCCCCCAAAACATGAATCTAAGCAAAAAATAAAAATAAATCTTTCTCTGCAGTACTTAGCAAACTCTTAGTTTCTAAACAAGTTTGTGTTCAACAAGGCACTTACCAGGATGAGTAGCCTGTTGGTTGACTTTGAATACCGTCGAATAGCATCATCCTGTGGAAGCTCAGGTGGGACTTTGCTAATTCGTAGTTGTGCCTCAATTACGGTATCATTTAGTTCACTGCAGATTTGTTAAAGAGTGCATTTCAATATAGCTTGCAAGGAATATCTCATTAAAAGCTGTGAACATGATTAGTTCTTAAAAGAATGGTTTTGGTGATGATAGCTTTTTTTTTTTTTTTTTTTTTTTTACTGCAAACGAGCAAATAAGGCATTAGTAATTTGCATACCTCACGAAAGTTTCTGCCCATTCTTGAGCAGTGTGAGTTTTCACATGATGAAAATTGTGGCGATGTCGTTTCTCTCTTTCTTCAGGTGGCATATTTAGGGCCTGTTCAATGGAGGAAGCAACTTCTGTAATGTTCCAAGGATTCACAAGAATGGCTCCAGCACCCAGAGACTGTGCCGCACCTGCAAACTGTAAAACAAACGTAGCTTATAACGACTTTGATGGAAACACATACATCTAAAATCTTAATTCTCTTAAACTAAAGCAAATACTAAGATGCAGAGTAGGAATCATTACTTCACTGAGAATGAGGACGCCCTTTTTGGCCTCTTGGCAAGCAACAAACTCGTAACTGACAAGGTTCATCCCATCTCTCAAAGATGTGACCAGTGCAACATCTGATGAACAAAATCAAAGAAAATTATATCAGATGACAGAGTTACAATAACATTCATGAGACTTGGAAAGTCACAAGCCAGGCAATTACCTGTGACGGCATAAAGTGCACATAAAGCATAAAAGTCCAGAGAACGATCCTGACAGTGAATGAGAATTTTATCAGCATTATCTCAGAGTTGCATGTTCAAACACAAGATAAATCATAATATCCAACTCGCTGACAAAACATGGAGAGGGAAAAACAGACCAGGTGATGTATTGGCACAGCAGTGAGTGTCCCAAAACGACCATTAATGCGTCCGACAATTTCATGAACTTGGCTTGTGAGTTTTTGATCTGCAAGGAAAACAAAAAATTACAGCCAGAAGTTCATCTATTTGCTACGGGTTTCAAATTACTCTGCTTTGAAAAGAGATTTGGTTGCTAGTTCATCTATCATAGCCAACCACAAAGTTTCCATGAGTGATGCTAACTAAAACCATGCATAAACATAGTCCAAGAAAGAAAGCATACATTCAGGGACGTCTGTTCTTGTTGGCACCGCAATTTGCAATAACACCACTTTATCACGCCAGTTTGCGTTTTCCTCCAGAAATTTCTCAAATGCAAGAATCTTCTGTGGAATCCCTTTGATCATATCAAGACGATCAACACCTAACATCACCTGTCCATATTGAAAAAAAAAAAAAAAAAAAAAAATAGTGAAGAGAGTGAGATTAAACACTTCTATGTATTAGTTTCGTTGAATTGCAGGGTAACACAACACCTTTCTGCCAGCAAATCTTTCTTTCAGCTCCTTCATGTGTTGTATGACCTCAGGAACCTCAAGTGCTCGTATAAACCGCTCAGAATCTATGCCAATTGGAAACTGAAATCCACAGCAAGAAAAGGGTATTTTATGAGTTATTTTGTCACTGTGGGTAAATATTGTGAGGGTTGAAGTAATGAAATATGCATACAGCAGCTACTCGAGTGAGCCTGCCTTGATCCTCAACTCCCTCGGGTGTTCCTTCAAGTCCAAGTATACGAGTGCACGCACTCACAAAGTGCCTTGCATAGTCATAGGTATGGAAACTGAAAAGTAGACAGTATGAGACTTAACACAGTTCTGTTAAGTCTACTGTGTCCTTGAACATCAAAATTTACCACTCGAACACAAAATAATGGCACATCAGCTCAATGATAAACTAATACAAGAATATTTATTGCAACAATAACACATTGAGCCATTACTATGGTAAGAGCATTAGGAATGAATAGAGAAAAGTAGAGTGTATTTACCCAACTAAATCAGCAGCAAGAACTGAGCGAAGCAGCTCTGATCGTGATGGAAGTGTCCTGTGTATCTCAGAGGAAGGGAATGGTGTGTGGAGAAACCATCCAACTTTCATCTTGCTGTTGTATTCCTTAAGGCATTTAGGAAGGAACATCAGATGGTAATCATGGCACCAGACGACATCTCCTTCTTCATAGTGCTCATTTACAACATCAGCGAACATTTGATTTGCCTTCTTGTATGCAGCAAACTGGGACTGGAAGCTTCTGGTTGTTGCAAGCCGATCTTCTTGTGGAAGCCCAAGGTAGTGAAACAGAGGCCACAGGATGTTGTTGCAGTAACCATTATAGTACTGATGAACAATCTCTTCATCAAGGAACACAGGGATACACCTCTGCAAGTTAAAAAAACAATTAAGACAACAAATATAACACAAGATAGAGATTCTCATTGGCAGCAACATCAACACTGTACCTTCTCAGCCAAAGCTTTGCTAAGTGCCTTCTGACCAACTTCATCAGGCACATTGACTCCAGCCCATCCGATCCATCTGGCCTCAAACTCCTTAACACCCAAGAGAGCACTAACAAGACCACCAGCACTGATCTCGAGGGACCATGAATCTTCACCTCTTCTCACAGCAGAAACAGGGAGCCTGTTAGCCACCACAAGCAGCCGCTGCCTGTTATAAGGCCTTGCTTCTTGCCTCTCGCAGACATCATCGTGGGCCCCAGCAGCAGCAGCACCTTCCAAGTACTGCTCAACGTACTGCCTTGAACTGTCCCCTTCCAAACGAAGGTCGTTCTCATGAGAGTTGTCGGAACTGCCAGAAACTTCATTAGGGTTACGAGCCCTGTTGCTCCTCCTCTTCTCTCTAAGCTCTCTGTCTCTCAGGAGACGTTCTGTTCGAGAGAGCGGGATATGGGACGAACTGCAGTTGTACTTATTTCCAGGCATACGCTCACACCAAAACAGAACCAAAAGAGCAGTTTCAAGCTGAAAACGATAGTGACCTGCATTTTATTTTGTGGTCAAAGCAAATCAGCCCACATAAATAAACCAAGTGTCAAAGTAGGGATATTATATTTAACATTTACGAAAAAGAAGAAGAAAAAGAAGAAATTGAAATGTCGTTGTCTATTATATATCACCATACACTGATTTCACTCCTGCCGAAT